CGCCCGTAGGACCACTCCTTTTTCTCCAAGGCCTCCTGGTTGATACACTACCAGAAGCCTACAGATCGCCCCGTAGGCCGACACCGTATTCGTGGCGATCATCTCGTCTCTCACCGTCTCCGGAACCGCCTGGATGATGAGCGAAGCTGCCCGCCTTTCCAACCGACTCCATTTCCGTACCCCCAACACCTCCGGCGTCTTGGGCGCCATGTTGACCCTGTTCAGCGGGATCTCCTTCATGTACTCCTCGTACCACTCGCGGGCCTCCTTTAAGAGTAGGTCCACCATTCCATCGAGCTGTCACTCAGGTCCGACATCAGGGGATGGATAATAGTGAACCAATCCCCTAAATCTATCGGACCATTCTCTGGGCTAAATTCGCCCAGGCGAGGCAACTCCGCGAAGCCCGCCTTGACCGTCTCGATGGTCTCCTTCTTCTCCTTCTGCTCCAAGAGCTGCTTCTGCATCATCTGCACGCCCTCCACAGCTTCAGCATTACGTCCATTTGGTGGCCATCCTTTCCGGATCCAGCCACATCACTTGCCCTTTCCGAGGCACCGCCATCCTGCTCATCCCGGGCATTTCCTTTTTCACCACCAGCTCCAAGTCCGCCTTCTCCGCCCTTGCCATTCGAGTGGTCGCGGGTCGGGCCGTAGGGCTCGTGGTTCTGATTGTCCCTGACCGTGCTCATGCCGTTCACCTTTTCCCGGCTCTCCGGCGTGCCGTAGTCAGCGTCCGTCTCCTTTCCTTGTTTCTTCAGCACTTCCACCTCATGCTGAAGCCTCTGATTCCGCGTCATCAGCTCCTGCATCATCTGCATGAGGTAGACCGGGTCTCCCGGTGCCGATGGTGTCGTCCTCGTATCCTGAGACGCCGCCATCATCTTCATCATCTGGCCCTCCGGCTCCGGATTCTCCATGGGTAGGTACCTCGGTCGAAGTTGGCCACCACCCGGAGTGTCTCCCTCCAGGTTACTCTCCACGGGCAAGTGCGCCGGCCTCGGTTGGTCCATCCGCGGTCCCCTCAGCAACGGTGCTTTCTCGTCCCACTTGTTGAACTCCCTGATCTGCTCCGGGGTGAACAGAGGCTTCATGGCTTCTGGCTCTCCTTCCGGTCCATTTGGCCACCTGCGTGGAGGCTCCTCGAGTTCCTCCTCGCCCTGGCCTGGCTTGAGTGGTGTTGCCGTGAGCTCAAGCGGCTTCACCACCTCCACCATCCTCCTCGGAGGCCTTCTGCCTCCAGCATAGGGCACCATTTCCTGCCCTATGATCTCCAGGCTCTCCACCTCCGGTTCTTCTCCATCGGCAGAATCGAGCCTTTATCGAGGTTCTCCACTTCCTGATGCCCTTGTCGGTTCCATTGCCGAGCGAGGGCCCCTGTTTTAGGGGTTTGGGCTCATAACCTGTGGTGCCGCTATTCAGAAGCGGTCTTTTCCTCGACACAAAAACGGCTCCATTGTGCATGGTTTGGTTGCCTATACATGAACCCTAATATTTCACCAACCTGAAATAAGGTGGTTGGGGGAATACTCCCCACATAAGCCACCATTTGGGGTGAGGTCGTGTGAGGTCGTTATAATTCACCCAGACTATTGTCCCTGCTCCAAAAGGCCCCTCCTCAAAGGCATCCGCCAGCACAGACAGCTCCCGAAGGCCTCGATCCGGGCGTACACTTATGAGCCCGGATCCGGAGGTGCGTACATGGCAAAATACGCCCCGGAAGTGAAACCCGTTTTGAAGATCTTTGCATTGCGGGCCAAACTGGTTGTTTGGAGAAGGCCCCCCCAAACATCGCTGAAAAAGAGGGGCCCCCCTACCCAGTTTCGAACTCATGTGAGGTCGAGGCTTGGGGTGAGCCCATGTCAGAGGGGTATGTCTCAAGAGACTTAGACCAAAAATGGGTGGCTTCCGCTTCGGCTCCCCCTGAACCAAAGTGAAGAAGGGTACATGAATACTCCGGAAGAATCACCCACACCCCTTTGCCTCTACGTCTTACATGATCGTTTCCCCTGGTTAATTCCTTATGGTAAAAACTTGAACCCATATCAACAGCGTCCTCACCTGATCTTCCAAGGCACCAAGGTCACCAGCCGAAGAAATCTGCTGAGCCAGCAAGCCCAGCGCCTGATCAGAAGCGCTGAGCCTCGAAGCCTCAAACTCCTAATTCGGCTGGTACCCTCCTGTCCACATGGAAGCTGGCTGAGGCTTCCTTGAATGCGGCTATCCTATTAAAGGGACAGCCATGTTTACGTGGACATGAGGGTGGTCTGTCCCAGTCAATATTCACTTTCATCTATCCCATTGGCGGAGTTTGTGGATCCATATGTCCGAAATCCATTTCGGGCACACGGGTATAGCTTCTGACAAGGGAAGCCAAAAGAAGCCTCACCAAATCTACCGGCCAGGACCCTTTGGTTTAAATCTTGTCTATCATTGCTTCTAGTCGTAGACCCAGTTACTCGAGCCTTCCGAAACACAAAGATAAGAATCAAAAGGCCCCTGGTGGATCCCCTGACCTTCGAAACCTTTGGCTCCCTTGCTACCAGCTCACATGTGCGGCAGGAGCTGGTCATTGCGAAACGTAGTTCAGACTTCCACTTTAATCTCCAAATAGAAAGGATAGTTTCTTATTCGACACGGCTGGCTATGGCTGCAGCTGCACTGCACGTTGCAACATCCTGGTGCCGCCATTGCAATACAACGCCCTTAGACACCCCCCAAATTGGAAATCATGAGGGCCCCTGGCTTTCCGCTTGCCATTTATCCCCAAGAAAACCATGGGACCGTGGTTACGCGGCCCGTAGGCCCGTAACCTACACGTCAAGTAGGGGTCAAATGATACCTTGCAGGCAGGGCAAGCTAACATCCGCCACCAGCTTACCAACACGAAATAGGTCGGCAAGGATCCAAGAACGTGACAGCAAACTAGGCTTGGAATATATCCCCAACATCACCAGTAAATAGAGGGCGTACAAATTCTCTTCAAAATGTCTTGGGGGAGATATGGACTACAAGCAAACCACACGCGAGGCGAAACTTTTAGGGCACAAGGTGAGACATGTGGGGAGCATGTGAGACATCCTCCGGTCGCCTTTCAGCAACCAGGGCACTGGGCAAGCCCGGCTGTACATGCTTACCACGTGCACACTTCCCCACCATGTGCTTTGCACAACCGGAAAAGATTTGACACCTTCGCAAATCTCCGCCTTTCCAGTGAGTCACTTGCTGATGTTGGATCGACTTGCGTTTGCTGGCATTCAAGAGCTCATGCAGGGTGCATCAGACTGCCCTGGAAGCAAGTGTCTGCTCGCCCCCTTCTCCCCCAAGGTCATTGCTTTAGGAAAATGTTAGGTACAACTTCAGGTAGGTACCCCCTTTCTTAACCTAGAGCCTTTGCAGTGTACCCATCCGGAGTCTCCACAGACCCGTGCAAGATGCTTTTTGTTCGTGGTCTTGGTACCTGGGCCGCTGCGGATTTGGGGCCGGGCGAAATCAGCCCCCTAATCAAACAGGCCCATCAAAACAGTCAGGGGTGCGGGTCACCCCGCAATCTCAGCTGGAAACTACTTTTGCAGACAAAAGGGAACAGCAAACCGGAAGAATGTGGCTTTCAGGTGCCATGTTAGCCTGTTGAGACCCCATGTTTAAGGCGTTGGTGATTCTCCAGTTCGTTTTCCACCTGGGCATGAAATCTGATTGGAAATGGATCCTGTGGTGGACATCGTGTTCATCTAGGTCCACCAACCAGTTTTTGCGGTTGCCTTGAACATCTCTCAAGGTATCTGAATACAGATGGCTGTGGGTCAAAACCAACGGTACCATTTTGGGTAGGTGCACCACCCATTTTAGTCTATTTTAGTGGGGATTGGGATGTTCACCTGGGGTACGGGGTTTTGACCCATTGGCATATCCAAAGAAGGTTTGCCCGGGGGCCCTTGTTTTCACATCCGAACTCATGGCCTTTCACCAGGGCCCAAAAGGTGTCTGCGCGTCTGCCATCGCAGGCGCCAAATGCTCGCCGTGGAGCTGTGAAACCGACTGCTGCGCCGAAGCTCTGTGATATAGTTTGGCTTGCTACAAGCCTAAATAGTTAGAATGGCCCGTAGGGGAATTTAAGACCAAACTTAGTTACGATTCAGGAACCAACCATTGGTAACCATGAACCTCCGCAATTAGGCCCGTGTTCGCACCTGCAAAAGAAGCCACGCATTTTGCACATTTGCGGAAGGTGCTACTAATATCAAATGTCTGCCGAGCCATGGCCAACACTTTCGAGGAGTCCATGATCGTCCCTTCAACCCAAGTGAGACAGTGTTTGATCCTAAGGGAAAGACACTCGCAAGTGTCCCAAGAGGTATCAAACAGTGATGTAGTTTAAGCGGCCGACCCAAGGAAAACGTGGGCTATACGGAACGCCTACTCTTGGCATGGCATGACACCTTTGAGTAAAAGCAATCTTCATCACACGTCCCGGAACATTCTGAGCGCATAACACTGGCCCCTCGGTCCAGAAACTCGGAGGCAGCTGGCCGAAGTGAGACCATGCAGAGTTCCACGCGGTGATGGGCCGAAGCTGCGCTCCAACGGTCAGGAGGTCGTGTTCAACAAGTCCTTGTTGAAAGCAGTATGCAAAATCTGTTGGTTGGCTTCGACTTATTACCAGTTGGCCAAACATCCAAACAAGATGTTCAAAGCTGGTTGCAAGCTCAAAAGTTAACTTTGAATCTTCTTGTCAGACTCTTGCACGGAGCAATGCCTATCAAATCCATTGCTTGCATCATGTTATTATTCCCCAGAGGCGGTTTGATTAAAGGTTCTTGGACGGAAAAATGAACCCTCCTCTGTGTTTATTGTTCTTTCTGTGCAACTCAGGAGGTTGAAAAAGAAGAAGTCACTGAACCCCCTGGCTGTTTCATCCCTGGTGCTCTAAACCAAGTTGGTTTACACATATAGTTTCTGTCCACTTTGGGTGGAGGTGTGTTCATGTCTTCTCCTTGGAGCTCAGCAGGAGGTGGCCATTCGGCCCTGAATTCGCTTCATGTAGGCGTTCTGGGAGTGGCCGTGCTCTTGCATGCCCCGCTTCCCCACTTGGCGCTGCATGGACCGAGCGGAGGCCACGGACTGCAAAATCTCGTCCTTCAGGGCCACGTCCGCCGCCTATCGAAGGACGTCTGCAACTGGCGATAGGGGTTGGCGGGATGGGTGGGGATGGGGTGTGGGGCTGGGGTGGGTGGGGGTGGAGGTGGGCAGGGGTGGATGCCTTTGGAGGCAAGCCATTGTAGTGCAAATTATGCACAGTAACACCTGGAGGTAAGAAACCTTGGCGTGGAAACTTGCCCCTCTGTGAGCCCAATAAATCCTCATGAGTACCTGTTCACGGTGTGAAGGGAATTCCCGTCATATCACAGAAAGTGGACCCTAAATCCAATGTTTCATGTCCGTGAAACGGGCCTCTAGCTGCTACAGGGTTGCCATTATTTCCCCCGTAAACATCACGGGCCAACAAGGCGCTGTTCAGCGCCACCAAAGGAGAATCATGGGTATGTGTCAAACTAATGGCACTCCCAACATGATGGTTTTCCCTTTGGTTCCCCTTCAAAACCTGGACCTGACAGTAGGTACCCTCGAAAGAAGACACCCATAGAGGGACCCCGCGTTTTTCCGAATCGCCTTGGCGCGCTCCAGGCGCGTGGCCACCGTCTGCTGCATCTGCTGATACTCCTGGACCTCACGCTCCTGGCTAGTGCGGGGGCAAGAAAGCGAAGTGGAAGGGCTTCTACTGCCAGGGTTCCGTTTTTGACGACATCGGTTTCCCTTTCGGGGACATCAACAACCCCTGGCTTTAAGTCTACCCCTCTGCACCGCTGGTTTTAAATTGGGAGGGGGACAGCCCCTTGGCCGACTTCCAAAGTCCCGGCCTGGTTATCTCGGAGCCGCTGGTCCTCCGAGACCTGAGACGTGAAGCGACCGTTCGGTTGTGGGCTGACCCAACCACAGCAGTTGCCCGTGTGTAGTCTATATTCAGGGAGCCTGGAAATGTGGGCTGGCCCACGTGGGCCGACCCAACTCATTTTTTAAGCATGGAGCCTGGAGATGCAAAAAACAAAAGAGACCCTGGTTAAACAGTTGGGCGAAGAAAGGACAGCGGGCTGCGCCGCAAGAGCGCGCACCGGCTTCCGAAATGTGCGATCCCTGCCTTCGCTAGTGCCTGCTTCTCTCTTGCTTTGTTGGAAAGGACACAATCCTGAACAGTCAGGGTCATTTTAATCGATGGTGTGGTGGTCAGGGGGTGGTTTCCTATATCCTCTACCGGAACAAGGGGTTCCAAATCCCCAAGCCACCAATCCAAACCACCGACTACGGCCAACCTGAACCAGGTGCCATCGCAAAAGACACCCACACTTGTCCCTTGGTGGTGAAATTCGGCGGAGCAAACATCCAAATTGAACATGGAACCCACCAAAACCTGAAATTCTGGAGAGGAATCTCCTTTTTCGGGGACCCCCCCTGTTTGGTTTCCATGTGAACAATTCCCCAAAGGGCACCATCCAAAAAAACACCCACCTTGTCCCGGCTCCCACTGTGAGACCAGGATGAATTGGCCAAGGGATGGGCCTTCTGACAACACAACTTGTCCGACTAACCATCTTACGTCAAGGTTGAGTTGGATGTATCTCCATTGGTGGTGGGTTCCCCCATGCTTCGGATGGAGACAATGTGTTTCGCACCAGTAATTGGGGGGATCATCCCCATATTTGTGCGGTTTCATCCGTCCCAAGTGCAAAGAGGATTTTGGCCATCCACATTACAGCGACAAGGGAACTAGGGCATGGTTGGTTCAACTAATTTTGCCCAGGACAAGATCAAAGGCGTACCAGTCATACCGTTTCAAGAAAGGTCTCTTTGGAAACTGTTTTTAGGCACAACACGCCAGAGAAAACCACAAGAAGCTATGCAATCCCCACAAATAACAACCCTGGAAAATCCCTACAAAGAGCTTGGCCCCCCCAAAACAAAACCGAACAGCGCCAACCCTGCAAGGCCCTCACAGCAGCTGCTTTTCCGCTCATATCAGAAAAAGTCTTTGCAGCATTCTGATCCTCACCCGAACTTGTTCGCAACCGTTTCCCAACTCTTTTTCACGGTTTCCCAACTTGTCCCAAGCTTTTCCCTGTTCTCAATGGCTCCCCAACTCGTTCCCAACTTTTTCCTAGCCTTTCCCAACTTTCTCCCAGCCTGTTCCCAATGTTTTCCCAACTGACCTTTTCCCAACTTGTTCCCAATTTTTCCCAACCTTTTCCTAACTTTTCCCAAACCTTTCCCGACTTACTCCAATTCTGGTTCCAACCTTTCTCAAAAATTTGTCCAAACATGTTCTTGAAGAATATTGTTTCCTATATTTCCCGTTAAAAGGTCACCCCACCAAGGAAGCTCACTATGGGGGTGATGATTTGCGCCCTTCAAGTATGGGCATCTGTATTTTGGAGGGAAATTAATTGCCCTTACTCCTAAAGCACCCAACGTGCCTTTTTTGGGTTTTAGGCACGAGAAGAAACCGCTTGAATCACCGGTTTCTGCTCGCTCCCCGAGAAAAAAAAATCCACCAAATTTCTTTCTTACATCCAAAGGAAGGCGAGCATTTTTTTGTTGTTTAAATGCGCTCGTTTGCGGATATGTGCGCTTGTTTGCAAATAGTTGCGCTCGTTTTGCACTTCGATTTCTGCTCGCTCCTTTCAGCGACCGATCATCGTCAGCCCGGTTTTGGGAGAAACGCTCGAAGCAGGAACAATGACAAGTGGACGTCTAGCATATTTTGGTGACGACCCTTGGACCAAGGGCGCTCCAGGCTACCTTGGTTCAAAAGGACACAGGAAAAGCGAAGCCGAAATCCCTAGTTTGACACATGTCCCTGGATTTCCCCTTCCACAATTGAACAATTTGAAGAATTCGATCGGTGGAAAAACTGCAGAAGTCCAGGCTGTGCCTTGATCTGGTTCTTCCGGCGCTGCTCTGCGAGGGTCACCTTCTGCCGTTTCTGCGCCTCTCCTCAGCGAGTGAAACGGAAGTCCTTGTCATGGGTCGCATTTTTTTGGGTGGCTTGAAGGGGAAACAAAGGGGGTCCCCTACACAAAGACACACCCGTCGTGAGGCTCGGAACCCTTCTCACCTTCTCAGGGATAACCTTGAAGGACACCCGCTTGGCCCAATTTGGGGACCAAATCCCGATTGCGTCACACCGCAAGTTGGGTGTGAGTCTTATCCCACCCTGTTGGTGGACATTGGAAAATTCACGTCCACCACTTGTAAGGTGGTTCCGTATTCAATCATAGTCGTTTTCACACGAGCGGTCACAAGATTACAGCTGCCTTTTGAAGAGGTCGCTGGGTAATTTACTGAGCCCCCTGGTTTTGTAGGAAATTGAGTTGCCCACATGAACAATGCTGGTAGTTTTGACCACACCTCCTTCGAGACTCAACAAGCAACCCCAAGTGGTCACGTTGCTTTGGGGTTTCCCTTTCAACACCATCAATATTGGGGACGCGAACCAACCTGCCCAGCCCGCCAAACCCTCCAAACCCGCCAACCCACCAGGGCCATTCCCAAAATTGGGACCCCTGAAGCGTGTTTCATGAAAAGGGGTCTTATATGTTTTGTTTCGGATGCACCCATCGTCGTAGGGGAAACACCCCAGGTGGCTACTACAACCCAGTTCCAAGAGCAAAAGAGGGCACTTATTCTGGCAGTTGACTTTAAAGGCGTCACCCCCGCGAAGGAAGGGAACCCACTCCACAGAAAGGGAACACCCTGCCCTCAGGAAAAAGAACAAGCCATCGCACCACTGAAGGCCTGGGTCATCCATATCCGCCATACCCTCTACCTCAACTCATGCTGTGTACCCCGCCCCTCACCCCTCCCACCCTCCCACCTCACTCCCACCCCCCACCTCAGCCCTCCCGCCTCCACCCCTCCCACCTCGCCTCACCCACCCCACATCCATCCACCACCCCACCACTTGCCGCCAAGGCGCGGTCCAGCCCCGCCTGCTGCTCCGCATGGGCCTTGGCCTCCACCATCTCCGCCTTCGCCGCTAGGAACTGCCGCTTCGTGGAGATCTCCTCACGAAGCATGTGCTTTCCGCTGCTTTTTCTTCCGTTCTTTTTGTTCTTTGCAAGCTTTTACGGAGGTTTGGCTTGGTTGTCTGTGGGTGTGTGTGGGTGTGTCGTGTCTGTGTGTCTGTGTGTCTGTGTGTCTGCGTGTCTGCGTGTCTGTGTATCTGTGTGTCTGTGTGTCTGTGTGTCTGTGTGTGTGTGTCTGTGTGTCTGTGTTGGTTGTTTGGCTGCTTGGCTGCTTGGCTGCTTGGTGGCTTGGTTGTTTGGTTGTTTGTCTGTCTGTATGATTGCTTGTTTGTCTGTCTCTTTGTTCGCTTTTGGGTGTGTTTGTATGTGTTTGTGTGTCTGTGTATGTGTGTGTATATGCGTGTGTTTGTTGCTTAATTGTTTGCTTGTTTGCTTGCTTGCTTGTGTGTTTGTTTGATTGTTTGTTTGATTGCTTGCTTGCTTGCTTGTTTGTTTGTTTGTTTGTTTGTTTGTTTGATCGTTTGCTTCCTTGTTGGTTTGCTTGTCGGCTTGGTTGCTTGTTTTGCTTGCTTGTTTGCTTGTTTGCTTGTTTGTTTGGTTGCTTGTTTGTCTGTGTGTGGGTGTTTCTGTGTGTGTGTGTGTGTGTGTTTCTGTTTGTGTTTGTGTGCGTCTTTGTGTGCCTATGTGCTTGTGCTTGTGTGTTCCGTGTGTGTGTGTGTTGGTTGTGTGTTTGTTTGTCTTGTGTCTGTCTCTGTGTTTACGTGTGCGTCTGCGCTCGTAGTCTTTCTCTTTTTTTGCGTGTGTGTTTGTGTGTGTGTGTCGTGTTTGTGTCTGCCTTTTTCTTTGAATGTGCTTGCGGTTGTGTTTGTGTGTGTGCTTTTTGCTGCGTTCGACTGCTTGCGCAGAAGAACATCAACATTGGCGTGGTGGCTGGATTTGCTTTTGTTGTGGTGCTTCTTATCCCCCGAAGATTGCGGCTTGTTTTTCTGTCCGCCCCTTCGGTGGCTGTTGCTGTTTGTTTGCCCTGCTTTTTGGCGGAAAAAAACAAAGCGCGAGGAGAATGTTATTGGTTATTCTGCGGAGAGAAAGTGGTCTTGTCAGCCTTGGTTCTCTGGGCTTTGTGTGTAGGAAACAAACGCGGGGGGACTCCCAACTAAACCATTCGTGCCTTCCAAAAGTGGAAGACAGGTGCATGCTCGAGAAGTAGGAACCGCCCCAACTTCCCGACCTTCAGGGCTGGAGTGCTTTGCTTCACGAGACAGCCCTGCCAGGAGGAGTATTTGATTCGTCTCGCAGAGCAAATCCCATTGGAGAGGGCTCGGCTCCACCTGCCATAGAAGCTGGAAACCAAAAGCTTATGACGCTTAGATGACACAAAGTAAAGGTCGGCTTCAAACAAGTGAGTCTGCCCCGCATTTGATCTGGTGCCTGCACCCTCTGGAGATCTTGGCACGTGGCACCCGGTTGTTGGGAAACCGTGGAAACTCCCTTTCGGGATGTTGCCATACTATGTAAGCAACCTTTATTATGAGGACGGAGCTCGTTTGTTCCCCGGCTCGCCATGAATTTTGCAAATGGGCCGAAGGATCCAGCATTCCACCCGCAAAACTCTGCATCACGGATCAGTTTGAAGGAAAAATGCTCCCACGGTGAGATCCTCCCATGATCCTTTCGAGCATCCGGAACGCGGGGGGAGGGTATACCTGACACCGCTGCGTGGGCTGTTCAGTCAGTCGATGGGCAGTCGCAACCAGACCACAGCAGTTCAAGGCTAGCACACCTCTCAACGGGGATCATCCACCACACACAACCTACAAACCAACCGACCAACCAACCAAACCAAACCCAATCCAACCCATCAAACCAACCAACCCGAAATGGTGGCTTTCACCTGCTATGCCCCAAAGCATTCGTCAATCCCCCCCAACATCTGATGTTTCGCCACCTCTGTGCCTAAGCAAAGACCCACCGCATATTTCCCAGTCCCAGGGCACCCCGGGGGGCGGGCCCACCTTTTCAACCAGCGCCTGGTACAGGAGTTGGAGTGATTTCATATTTTCGCGGACCCACTGATCCTATTTTCGCGGCTGCTCTGAAACTTGAAGGGACTTGGATGGGGACCTAAACTCCTCAGGACCTGCCGCGACTCCGGTCGTGCGCCCTATGAATTCTTCCGACGCCGGAAACCCGAGGCTCCTTCAGCTCCAACTTCAGGCGCTGCTCCTCCTCCTTCTTCTGGCGCTTCTTCAGCTGCAGCTTTTCCGCCACCTGGCGTAGGCGATGACTCAGAGATCCAGCGTGTCAATGAAATCCCCAGAACGCCCCTGATGTCTGGCCTTTTAGGGAGACGCCTCAGGTCAATGGGGGTTTGCTGTCGCTCGGGGCACTAGCAGCTTGGGGATTACTTTTCACGCTTTTCAGAGAGACAGGAGTTGTTCCCCAAACAAATCTGAAGCTTCGGCGATGGGAATCTCACCTTGGCAGCACAAGTAGAAGGGCTATTCTTCACCACCACAGTTTCAAGAATGGCATGGTATCCCAAGGCCCCCTGTTGCTTTGTTGCTCTTTTGGTACTTACTGAACAAAGCAAACAGGCTTCGCTCCACAAAGTCCGCGTCCAACCGTACCCTGCACAGGGGAGTAAGTAGTTGGACGACCATGGTTGTGGAAAATGACCCTTTCTGTGATGCCAAAGCAGAATGGATCCTCCCCATAACCACTCTATCCAACTGAAATGGTCTCCCTTGGAAAAGACAATATGTTTAGATTCTACTTCATATGTAGTCTACCCTAAAATAGACCTATCTTTGCCGCTGAATGTGGGCAACCGAAACCGTGGTTCATGCCGCCCTCTCCACGCCTCTAGAATGCACTTCTCCCGGTGGCGCTGCCGCTGCTCCTTGAGAAAATGAAGTGAGGCTTAAGAGCCATCCCTCAAAGGGAACCCCGCCATTTCGGCGGTCCACGCGACATTAGGAAACCACTTGAATGTCCACCTCTTGGCTTCATATCAGAGGTGAACCGTGGCTTGCATATTGCAACCTTGTGTCCTAAGTTCCAAGTTCTTTCACTAGTCTCATGCAAGGTTGGGGCAGATGGTTGGAAGGGGCGTGGTGGGACCAACTAGAAGGCTTCATTCATGTTCCCATGTCCAGTAGCATAACCGCATATGTTAACTGTAGGTCATGCAGATGCAGTAAGGCAGGAAAAAACACCTCGCTGCCCCCTCCAAAAAACGACAAATTCACTTTTAGGACTGCGCTACCTATCCAGAGGCCCATGAATTCAAAAAGTTAACCTGTTTGACTTCGGGCCGCCATTTCAAGTAGCGTTCCAGCGTTCCCGTTTCAACTCAGCTTTGGACAAGTTTGCCATGCCTCGAAAAGGAATCCGCTACCGCTTTTGGTCAGGTAGGGAACGCGCATTTTGCTTAAGGTCCAACAAGAACATGTTGCTTCATTCGGCCACCAGGACCCTAAGCCATCTGGGTTAGTAACCTCCAGCACCCATCAACATGCACAGGATCCCTTTCAGCAAGGAACGACTTTCATGTCTGTTGGGAGCAGTTCATGGGGATGTAAAAAAGGGGTTATTCATGTGTTTGTCAATGCTTTTGTGTTTTTCTGTTTGTTTTTGAAAGCACCCCACAAACCCCAAGTCTTCTATTCCGCGGCCTTGCAATTCACTGCCCAAGTCGCCAAGTCTCGGCCCCTTCGCCCCGATCCATCCATCCCGCGCCTCCTCGAGCTGCTTCTGTCGCTTCAGCTGCTCGCTCTTCTCCTTCTGCTCCTCCCGCGCGCGCTCGCGCACCTTCTGCAGCATCTCCGCCTTGGCTTCGAAAGTGCCGTGAAAAAGACACCGTGCGACCCGCCGAGGGGCCAAGGGTTCATGAGTTCCTCAAGAAGCCTGGTGCTCTGAATCCTATATTTATATGGCAATGCACCCGTTTGGAAGGAAGCCAACATGAAACGAATCGTTTGGCTGGTACAGGGAGGTTTTACACGGCGAGTAAACTCCCTCTTTGAGGGTACCCTTTTTGTGGAGGGTTAAAGAGAAAGCAATCTTTGCAGGTTCTCGAATCGGAGACAAATCCTTTCGGTCGTTTCGCGGAGCCAATTCCCATTGCTTGCATATTTGGCATCCCTTCACAATAAACCGAAAAAGGGGGTCCAACACGGTTTGACCCGTTCGCAAACAAGATCTTTCTTTTCGTTATGGGGCTCCCTGTGCAGGAGATGTTGAGTGGATTCAAAAGTAATGGTAACTGCGCAATGTAACAACTCGGCGGATATCTAGGGCATCCGCCGAATCATGTATCTACAAAGGCAGCTGCACACAAGGTTTTGGCATGGGCGCCTGCAGAAGGGTCTCACCCTTTCTCACTTTCGTAAAGAAGGACGTCCCTAAACGTGGACTATCCTGAGACAAGGGCATAGCCGCAAAAGGTACAGTTGATGTTCTTAGTCTTGCAAGTCAGCCAGCAAGAACGCATGGAACACTGCGAAGTACCCATCCTCCTTCCTGTCCACTGACATGAAACCCACCTCTCTGTTTCTCTTTAGAGGAAACTGGTCGTTCCACTTTCCGCATGTTCAAATGCATCTTAGGAAGAGCTGAGTCGTTATGCTTAAGCGCTGCAGCTTTTCCACTGCTGGGACTCACTACTTTCGGCATCTGTCAGATAAGAGTTACGCGTGATACTAATATGCGCGCAATACATGTATGTGTATATTAATATACATATATCATTTATAGATAACATGTGCAATGTGTCCTGCTTGTTTTCTACCAGCGATCATTGAAAGTAGCAACAAGGGCCTCTCAAAGCCCCAACTTGCACAAAAACAGAACCATCCAAGCAATGGATGGAAGGTGGAGCTGAGTTGAACACACACACACACACCATTGTGGGTGGGTGGGTGGGTGGGTGGGTGGGTGGGTGGGTGGGTGGGTGGGTGGGTGGGGGGTGGTGGGGGGTGGGTGGGTGGGTGGGTGGGGTGGGTGGGTGGGTGGGTGGGTGGGTGGGTGGGTGGGTGGGTGATGGCGCTTCAAGGGAAAACCATGGGACACCCCTCGCTTTTGCGGTTCCAACGTCATTATGTTTGAAACACGCCCTTGCTTTCAAACCTTCGAGCATGCAAAACTCGCTTCCCAACTCTCGAAAACGAGCGGGTATTTTTGTGCAGAATATGTGCCTTGGATTTGCTGACAAAGCTAAGAATTTTACAAAAAACACCCACTCCAACTGAGACCCCTGCAGAAAGTCCACTCCTTGCTGGTGGTTCAAACGCTTGTCAACGGGCGTCTCTTTTTCGGAACCAGAAGGGAATTGTCTTTCCGGACCAGAATTTTATTCGGGCGCAGCCTTCTCGGTGAGCTCCTCCTGCTTCTCAACCTTCTTGGCGAGTTGCCTGCGTTCAAGAAAAACATGCTTGAGTGTTAGGGCAACCTGATGGGCTGGCAATGCTTGCGTTTTTTAAGGGTTCCCCCCAGGTTTGACACATCCCCGCTTGGCGGCCGCAAAAGCAACTGCTCAACTCGAAGCGCGACATGGCGAGGTCAACGCTCTCCACCAGTCATGTTTCAATCGAGTGCCACTTCCCGAACTTTTGCGGTATGACCTAAATGTTCACACATGCGTTGGCTTGAAAGTCTCTACAACCATCCGGCTACCGGCAATTCTTCAGGAACTGTGCATCTCCATTCTCCTTCTCGTAGTTCATCCCATTTCCCGGTTCCAACTTCTGGTAGATCCGCATGTTGCTGGCCCCACCCTTGTCACATCGCCGCCGCCGGCGGCCACCGTCGTAGCCACGGACGATCACTTCTTGCCCGAACCTTCTGCGCCGGCGACCTTGGTTCACAGTGGCACCGCCGGAACTACTTTGAAGGCAGACTTGTCCATAGGGACCAGTGATGCCATGGAATGACACTCGGAACCTCTCAGTCGACTTCTTGGCAATGTGAAATTGGCTCGGAGACCGGGAAAACCACACTTTCTGATTCTCCAGGCGAAGGCATTTTGGATTATCGTCCGGATCTGGGATGTCACCAAAGTACATGTTGTGCATATACTCATTGCACAAATACCGGTCCTTTGTGAACCACCAGAAGTTTCGCATCTGCGTGGAATAGCTGCTGGAGAAGTGCGTGCATTCATCAAAAAGAGGCATACAATATTTAGCGCTGTCGTAAAAGTAGACCTTACCATCAGATTGGGGGCTATAGCAATCTGGAGAGATCGACAAACACTTGTCCTCCTCATTCTTGATGACATACTCCGTTCCATCTCCACACGAACTTGGGGTACCTCCGGACTTGCCACAAGAACCGCCCAGCAGGTTACTGAGTTTGCACTTCGCCCGCTGTGCAATCTTCTTGCCCTTGTTCACCACCGACTTTGCGAATTTGGCGCCGGTGCCTCCCACATCCTCCTTGAAGAACTCCGCCACTTCCTGCGCCCCGCTGCCGGCAAAGTTGTTGATCTTCCGCAGCACGAACTTGCCACCGCTCAGGAAGAGCTCGGCCCATCCCAGCCGCGCCTTGCACTTCAGCTTGCCGTTGCCGTACTTGAAGACGCACTTTATCTCGGTGGTGGAACCCCCGAGCTTGGCTTCGGTGTAGAACCCCAGGCCCGCGGTATTCACAAAGAAGCCGATGCCTTGGCTCGCGCTCAAGGAGATGCCGCCGCTGATGTCTGCACCCACCACATCCAACAATCCTCCAATCTGACCAAGGACGGTGCTCACGATGCTCTGCACGAACGCACCTGGCAGGCAAGCACCATGGAATTTCAGCCCGCCTTTGAGGTGCAGCATGCCCCAACCACATGAACATCATCCGCGAATCGCCCACGCCCAGACGCGCAAAAACCCAGCGGGCCTAGATCCGCCGAAAGGTAGAAATACAGGCCCGGAAGGTGGGATTGCGCATAGTCCGCGTCCTCGCAGCTCACAAATAAACGAAAGATTTGCCCTTCCCAAACGGTAAATCAAAAACTCAGAACAATAGAAACCAAATATCCCTAAAGGCAAAAGGTCAACTGATCATGTGGTGAATGATTTGTCAGCAATCTCGAAGCTGCGACAACAGCCCATCTACAATTACAACAACACAAACAACAAATAAGCTATCCAGCCCATACTGCTCTTTGTGCGATGTCTTTCCTTCTGTCATATCGCCTCTTTTCCCAGTATGCGAGGGATCCAACCATGCTGTTGCACTTGCTTACCCAATGGATAAAATGGGTGAACTTCTCTGCGCCCTCCCAGCCAATCATCCTATCCATTCAATTCAATGTGTTTTGAACAAATGTGCTTCAAACAAACTTTGCGAGAGTCCTGACTGCTCTCTGCCGGGCCGGTTCGCAACATCATGTTCACTTGGAAGATATGGAAGGACATGTCTGGCAGAATGCCCCGACTGGGCTCACTGAGGGCTAGTGTCACGTATCCGTTAACCTGCAGCATGCTGGTGCAATGTTGGATGCCTTCCACCAGGGACACCACCTCAGGCGTGCGCTGTCCCAATTCGACCGCAAACAGCTGACGTTTACACAACGGCCACAGCATGATTCAGGCGAAAAGCGACAGAAAGCCAACACATTTTGAGAATCGCGAGTGTCGCAAGTGTTTTTCCTAGAAACCGTGTTCGGTCCCTCACCGTTGGCTGCGGCCTCTCCTCGTTTGCGCTCCATCCCCGCCTGGTTGGCCGCCCCGCTTTGCCGCAACAGCGCCGCGGCTGCGGTGGGGCCCACTTTGTAGGCGGACGCAAAGCCACCCACCAGGTCCGGCAAGGAATCGGAGGGGTCACTGGACGCCATCCAAGTCAGAGCCGAAACCAAGCTGTCAGTGCTGTCATAGGCCACTGCGAACTGGGCTTGCAAATCTCCGGCCAGTACATCTCCAATGGTATCATCCATACCAAGCAACTGACCGATGGAAAGCCGAATTGTGGTGCTCATGGCAAGATGAGAATGTAAGGTGATGCTGCCCACACGGATGGAATCACCATCACCATGGGCCACCGTCACCGTCTTGAACAGTTTCCGGTCAATTGATATCCCGAAGCTCAGCTCCGGGATCAGGCCAGCCAGTCGGCTGATCACGGGCGCGAACTTGTCTGCAAAGCATTCGATGGTATCTGCACTGATGGATAACATGAAATTCACACCACTGTTGCACTTGTTGAAGGCAAAGCCAACCTTAAGCTCGGTGTACTGATCCACACTGGTGCCTGAAGGACAAAAGAGGCCCATGTACAGTCCAACTGTTCCCCAGGTCTCCGAATCACCGGGGTCCATGAAGAGATTTCGTAGATAAGTTAAGCCCTGGAAGGAATCGTAGAGACCCCCATTCTGGCCATAGGTGTTGCTGACGATCCAGGAGCCGGGGCGATCTCCCAGGCAAAAGATGGTGCCCGTCAAAGGCGAGGCGTCTTCCCAAACCTCGTGCCAAAAGTTTTGGGATTTGTTTGGCGGTTGTGTGGGAAATATACTCATGTACTAAACAGTTGAAGTCCAAAGATGTCTAAAGAGCAAATAGCCAACAATCCAAGAAGCCTTCAAGAAAGTGTTGAAGAAGTTGGCACTACTGCCAGGTGCAAGACTCGCCAACATGTGTCGCCAATCCATCGTGGCCACGCACTCCCCTGCCACACCCATGCCACAACCTGTGGAGCGGTTCTGGTCAGATTGAGACTTCTCAACCGAATAAACCCCTGCACTGTTCTTGTGGGTTTGCAATAGCGCTTTCGTCACTGAGCGGTGAGCTTCGGCTGGACAAGCTTGCTCTGCTGCCGCCCAGCAAACAAGCACGGACAAGATGGAGAACATCCATGCCGCGGGCCTCGCAATCGATGCCATGGGCCTCGATATCTCAATGGAACTTAAGATGTTAGGTTGTAAGGTGGTAGCTCTTGAGCTGAAGGCTGTGAGAAGACGAAGAAAACAGCGCATCTCATGCAGCACTCTCTCAAGACGGGATAACAGCGCTTCGGCAGCAACGACCAAAGTTGGCACATGCTGCACCTTGCTGGTTCTCAGCAGGGAAGCAGGGAATGACCATGAGGAATGAATGACCCTTTTTTTAAGTCTTGAAATTGACTCCATGAAGGGGAGGTTTCTTTCCCAAAACCCTTCTCAGCTCGGCCTCTCCCGCTTCATGTCCAGCTCCTTCTCTTTCTGTGCTGTGACCTGAGACATGCCACGCATATCGAATGAGCCATGGTCTAAACTCTGGGGGGCGCGAATGAGCCATGGTCTAAACTCTGGGGGGCTTCTCAAAATGGGAAGTGGCCAAGAATCCTTTAGGAGTCTTGGGTGAAAGGGTTCAATAGGTTCGAAGACATTGGTTTCTTTCGAACGCCACACACACATTATTGTCCTTTGGTGCAAGCGATTGCAACCTTCTCATTGGAACATGAGACACTAGTCCCGTGATGAATAGGAGCCCTCAAAACTGCAGGTCTACCACCCTGGCCATGCTTCAAATACCTTCAAGGAAAGACCAGCCGAGAGCCGAAAATATGGGTGTTGGGTGTTCAAATGGAAACAACAGGGACCCCAACCAATGTTTAGAGGGGCCATTTGTTGGGAACATCTGGAACATGGTGGAAACTTAGGTTTCATGTTGCAACCTCTTTCGTTGAGATTGGTGTAAGGTGGCAACAAAACATCTGGCGCTCGTGGCACGCCCCCCAACCCCCATCAAGGGCCCGGCGATCCGGAGCCGCTCTTTGAGCTCCGCCAGAGACATCTCCTCCAGCAAGCCCTGGCCATTCGCATCCGATCGGATCCGACGAGAAGGAGCCAACTAGCTTTGGATCGTGCTCCTCTTGGTTTCCCAGAAAGGGACGCTATATGGGCCCCTATTTTACAGTGCTTTCGAAAACCAAGGCCCACAGGGCGTCCCCTGAAAAAAGAACACAGAGGACTGGGCCCCTGCAGTCTCGTGGATTAAATAACCCGTTGGTATTGCTTGATTTGCCCCGGAGATTTGTGGCTTGGAGACACCCCCGACATCTCCACAAACGACATTCTACAAGTAGTGAGAACTTCCAAACATTCTGAACCCGGATCTTTCTCTTCAGAAGACCACAGCCAAACCAGAGGGAAACAGCTGGAAAAAAAGTATGTTGAACGTAACTTGGTAATGAACATGTATACCTGGTACCCAGTGTGGGCCACAAACCTATATACATGTTTGATGTTTGATGAGTTCGAATCACCGAGCCAAAGCCATCATCGTTCTTCCATACTGATCTGGTGATCATTGACTCATCAGGTCATTGATGTGGCAAATTTGAATGATCCTGCAAATCGGGGATGCTGTGAGGCCTTGCTTCTTTATTATCCCTTCAAAGGGGATCCTCTTGGTATAACACCAAAGCGCCCCTGTTGGGCCTCTACACGGGAAAGTGAATTTGCCACAACAACTGGCTGAACTCCCCAAAAAACAATGACTGAACATCCTGGATCGGATGTGCAACTGACCCTCAATCCACGGTTGTGGCCCTTGTGGCAAGTTGTGGCCCTTTTCGGAATCCGGCAAAGGGCTTCCACTTTGACGCCTGACAAACTCCCTTAGTCTGTTAGCCCAGGAGAGGTTAGCGTCTCCTTGCTTGTCCTCACATGCAAAGTTTTCATGGGGAAACCGCCAACTGGGGGCTGGCCGGCTTAACGGTGAATCTCAAGAAAGTGAGGGCTTTCCCTGAGCAACTCCAGCTTTGCTAGAGATTCTCTGGTAGTCTTGGCAGCAAAACCAAATCCAAATCCACCTGTTCCTCCCATTCATATGGGAGCCATATCAAAGCAGGTTCCTAGACTTTGATTTCAACAACAAATCCCAGAGAGTCTGGCTTCCGAAAAAGAACGACGGGGGAACAGAACGGGGGATCAACGTATGGATTCTCCTGCAACAGGGTTCCTCAAAGCATACATCCGAAAACCACCCGAACACAAGGGGATCCGCTAAATCAGCTGCAAAAGGTGCCTTTTGTTCACATGGCCGAGCGAATCCGTTAAGAAACCCTGTGTAACCTGACCTCCATGTCGCGCCACCCGTTCTGACAGTTGGCCCCTCTCACCGCGCTTGCCCCGCCTGGCACGGAGGCTCCGCGGGGTCGAAGAGCCTCGGGAGCATAGTGCTTCCAGCCGCAAGCCATAGGAAACGAGAGGAAACCAAGTAAAAACCTAGAGGCGTCCTTTTGGAGAAATGGTGACCAAACTGAAACAAGGGCCATCCACGTTCAATCAAGCTGACCTGACACGCACACCTACGCACATGGTCAAAAACTTGAGGCCTGCGGGGTTGACTCCAAGGTTGGCTTGGGAAGGCAGGACTTTCTCCCTTGATAACCACCCCCTTTCGGAAGTCCTATCATATACCTTCTTTTCCTACCGTCGAGTTGGGGACCGTCTTTCCGGGCTAAAGGTCTGGCCCGCTTTTTTGGGTCTGCTGAGTTCACTGGCTGAAAGGGTGGAGCTTTGGTCCTTGACCAAGAATGTGCAGAGTGTGACGCCATTCACGGCCGATGAGACAAGACCAAACATGGGTCTACTCCGAGGCGCCAAGAGTTCCTAGAACACGACCCCAAAGGAAACTCACTGATGTGTCAAAACCAGGACCCTCGCACCCCACCTCCCCGAAGCAAACAGCTAGTGTCATGTTGGCTCCCTTGTGAACCCCCCCTGCAAACAAACAAAACAAAAAGGAAGCTGTCGCTCCCAATGGAGCATCAGATCTGCAACTCTCACAAGGCCGAACGCGAATCAAGGCTGTCCCCTCTCTTTGGGGTTCCTTCCCCACCAAGCTTTCATGGAAGTCCCATAGATCTGAAGGCCTTGAGGCCTGGAGCGCTCAGGTTCCCTTAAGGCCTTTCGCATTTTTGCGATAGACGGCGTGCTAGGGGCAGGCAGGTGACGGTGCGGGCGCAGTCTTGCAAGATTGACCTTCGCTGCTGTAGGGCATGCAGCTGGTGGAGGTGCTGTTTTGGGAAACTGCTTGGGGCTGTTTGAGGTGGTTGACGGGCGGGGTGCAGGGCCGGGGGGGGAGTTGCTGCTTGGGTGCTGTTTGGGTGCTGTTTGGGTGCTGTTTGGGTGCTGTTTGGGTGCTGTTTGGGTGCTGTTTGGGTGCTGTTTGGGTGCTGTTTGGGTGTTCGGGTGACGGCGCGGGTGCATGTCTTGTTGCGAGATGCTTGGGGGCATGCAGTTTGGGGTGCCGGTGCAGGTGCTGTTTTGGGACGGTGCTTGGGGTGCCGTTGGTGTGGGCGCATCTTTTGCGAGATTGACGGCCGTGTGCTCTGGGGGGTGTTGGTATGACGCGCTCTTCTGGTGCAATCAATTGCCTGTGTTTCGCTATCTGGGGTCTATGATGCTGTGATTTGTTGCTCTAGCTGTTTTGTTTGATGGCGGAATGTTGGCCAACATGTTGCGCAACATGTCCCACGTGACTTCCAAAAACAGAAAAGCAACACAACTTCCCACCATGGGTGGACATGTAGGCAATGCTACTGAACTGAGAATTGTGGCATCACTTTCCCCAAAGCTCGATTTTCCCTAACCGCTTCCCGCAAACATCACCCCTACAAAGGAAAACCTAAATTTGGTGCTTCTCCACAGGCACTCTTCGAGCGAGCGGCTTGGCACGCTCCACTGGCACCTTCTCCAGCGCTCGGATTTCGCGGATGAGGTCCCGCTTTCGCTCCATCTCCTAAGACGAGCGACACCGAAGCCCAACATGTCGCGTTGCTTCCCAACGAAAGGACTTGCTTGGCTAGCTGGAAGCCAATCAGTTTCCGGTAATAGCCATGCTCGCTCATGTTCTCCTAGTGGTTTGAAACACACATGTTGGCAAGAAGCTAAATGTTACAGATATGATCAACAAGCAATGAAGGGCTGGGACTCATGAGTTTGGCCAAATCGTTCAAAGGTTGCAACAAAGGCAGGCTTTTGGGTTAGCGTTGGTGAAGGCCAGTTTGGGATTGCATGGGCCCGTCAGATTGTACAATCCCAGTTCCAGCTCAGTTTGGGGCGATGGTGTTTGGGCCACTGTGCGTGCATCAATACTTGCAGGAAACCTGTGTACCTCCTTGGTCTATGCCAAAAGGAAACCAGCATGAAGTGAAAGCCATGGCATTCAATGTCGGGGGTTTTAACGACGCTTCTGGATCATTTGTGGGGACCCCAGAGCTGTCAGACAGTCCCCAAGTTCTCAAGAAGCAGGCTTGTGCCCACCATTGAACCCTGGTAAGTGGAATCATGAACCAAAACCTGCGGTCCCCTGGTGGCCGAATTCTGACCCATCAGCGGTCATCGAGCCACCAAATGCCGACCCTTCGCGGCCTACCTTTTGAGGGCTGCGATTTTAACAGAGGAACTCCCGGGTGCCTTCTGAAAAGGGCTCCCAAAAGAACTCTGCGCAAATCCAGCCCATGGTTGAATAGAGGATCCTTCACTTTTGGATGCCAGTCAGGACAGTAATGAAGCTGATCTAATCAAACCCTGTCGCTTTTGACTAACCTGAAAACATCTGAAAAGTTTACTGGCCAAGAAGCAAACTGTTCACACCTGTACGAAGACATCTATCCTCCCACCCACTCAAATGGAATTGAATTGGGGGGGCCTCTGCAAGGGACCCTCTGCTGGGTTCCATCATGGGTGACAGAAAACAGCTTCGGGCTTCCCCATATTTGCCTCCTAAGCATCACCCCACAGAGAAAACTCACCTAAAAGTGGCAAGGAAGAGGTGACGCGTAAGTGGGCGGAAAAAAAGAAAGAAAGAAAAACAACTGTGGGGTAACTGATCACCGAACCTCCAAACTTCTCAACGCAAAAAACAAAACAAAAAAACGACCCCCCCCCCCCGGCACCCCGCACCTGCTCATCTTCCCTCTTCTTCCGCTCCAGCTCCACCTGCGGAGCCAACCAGGGTGAGAACACGAGTAGAATCCAAGTGGTGGCTGGAAACTCATGGGTTTCCGGTTTGGTTTCGGACATCAAATAAAAGGGGCATGGGTCAACTGGGGGTCCCAAATGCGCCAAGCCATGTTGACACTTGGTGGGGCACTCACTGGACTTGTATGAATAAGTCCATATGGGGCGGGGCGGGGTAGGGCGGGGTGGGGTGAAGCAACATTTGAATTAGCTCGAGGCGGCTCCTTGCGAAGCCACTCATATGGTCACGCACTCGGTTGTGCCCCCACACCCGTCTCAATTTGTTGGACGCAGTTGGACTGTTTGACCTCGATTCGCCATTGAAAGCCATGTTGGACCATGTTGGATCATGTTGCACCTTTATACCACGCCCAGTCTTCCTGCAGAATCTCAGAGCGAATCAAGGCAAATTATGCACACCTGACATAAGGAATCCCCAAGTAAGGAACCTTCGCAAATGATGTAGCCCAGAGTAACCCCTTGCAGACTGGAAGATTTTCAAGGCGACACTGATATTTTCTGTGATTGGACATGGGCCCTTTGACGGGCATCATAAACATGTGGGCTGGTTTCCAAGGCAACTAAAAGGACAACCACCTTCTGACCTGCCATGGGGATATGTATACAGACATATATATAAATATATATACATATTATGTCCAGCCACTATGTTTCATGGTGCTTCCCCATTGAGGTTCATAGCCGCGTCTGCACCTCTCGCTCCTTCCGCATGTTGTCGGCGTTGTTTGCCCGATCCTCAAGTGCGAGCGACCAAACGGCCCACTCAACGGGGTCCGAAATTGAAAAGGTCAGTAAACCGGACAACGAAACAGCATCGCCATTCTTTGTCAACCTTAGGAAACAAGCAACGCCATATATGAATGATCCTTAGTCGAGGGCGCCGGTTCTGTAAATACCTGAGTGAACTATGATCCACCAGCTTGAAAGAAGAAATGGACCCACCAAAAGTGAAAGCTTATCGCCCTACCAGGGAGGTTCCTGGATCCTAGGGCACTGATCGAAGGGTGCGTTTTGAACCTTTCTGTGGGGTTGGGATACTGGTCCCAATGTCTCTCCAGTGCTGTTGGATTGGAGTCTCCTCAGCAGCCAAGCCAACTTTCCACTATTTCGATTGTAAAATTGCCAAGAGAATACAATCCATTCATAGACCAACAGAAAAGATCTTGCACCTGCCTTTGAACAGTAAACTTAATCACCTCAATGACCAGCAACTAATTCAGCCACCTCAAAGGGTTGTTCAATTATATAAGGACCATGTTTCGCCAGTAGAACCCTTTTGCCATGGACAACTTGGACAGTGTCGGGCTCTTGGCCGCTTTTTGCTTCAGCCCGCGGCTTTCAGCGCCTCCTGCTCCGCTGCACGCGCGCGCACGCGATCCTGGCGCACATGATGCGTAGAAGCGGCCTTCTGTGGCGTGGGGCTCAGAGGATTTCCTCTTAGATTCCTGGTGCCTTGTTCCAGGTTCCAAATTGGTTTGTTTCAGGTTCCGCTTTTTAGTTTCATCGTGGGAGTGGCGGCACGCGGCGCAACCAAATAGCCAGGGGGTAGGTGTTCTGGGGCTTGCTTCGGGTGACATGTTGCGCCAGCTTTGGTCCACGTGTATCAGAGATGTATCAGAGATCAAGATGAGGCGAGGCGACGCCTGCACAGCATAGCTCCTTTTCCTGAGTGCAGGAATACTTCTCCTAGCTTGCTCACATAGGCATCTTTGATGCACATGTGCTATGTTGTGCCATTGGCGCATATGCGCTTGGCACGAGACCGCTTTGAGTCTATCAGACCGCTTTGGATCTGGGGTTTTCGATTCACCGAGGTGGAACTTATCTTTCCGTACTCGCTCGTCGGTTGTATAAGGTAAGCGCCACCCAAAACGTCACGGTAGTCAGGGTTTACCTTTCGGCACCTTGGCCGGGTCCCTTGGCCCAACCCTCAGAGTCAAACCAAAATCAGATTCTGCTTCATATTTGGCCAAGCTTGTGGAGAAAACTCCCAACGAGGGGTTGCCAAGGGATCTAAAAAGCTCAACCCAGGCCCCGCCCCGCCCCACCGAGCTCAAGGCAAGCGCGGGGGCGGGTTTTCCAAGCGCTGCGGCAGGCAGATCCGCCGGTCTTCGTCCAGCTCGTCGGGCGTTGGAGCGCCAGCCAGGCGCGACTCCGCCTCGGAGTCGAAGCGTTCGGCCACTCGGCGCGGGTCCTCAAAGGATGTCCTAGGAGGTCCTGAAAGACCCTCTCATAAAGATATATAGATATATAGTTCTGTCAAAAGGGAACACCAAAGGATGCAGTACATCAACACCCTGATGTTCGACCCAAACGTGGTTTGGTCATGTTTAGCTGCTCGCAGCAACCCTGGGGTTACTTACCTTTTTGTTGTTTGGTGAGTGTCCAGTGTGTCCTTCAAAGGTGCCCTTTACCCCTAGAACGGCAAAAAAACAATGGCTTTCAACTCGGCAAAAAGTGAAGGGTGCCTTAGGCAAAGGGCGCATCCGCCACCTATCAAAGAGCTCCCTGCAAAGCGCCGGACTTTGAAAACCAGACCTTGGAGCATGTGCGGCCCTGTGTACATTGCCACCTCCCATTAAACGCGTAAGAGGCTTTCCAATAGACCTCAAGTGGGGTCTACTCTTCGGAAAAGCAACAGAAGCACACCCCGAAGCAATTCGCCGGATCTGAAAGCCAAATACCCTTCCCCCTTTGATTCAAGGCAAATCAGACATCCTGGGCTAGCTGACACTCTGAGATGGATTGGGCGGATGCTAACACAAAATGATTGCTCTTGGTGCAAGCGATCGGAATCCGCTTATTGAAGCCCGTTAAACCGGTCCCCTGACAAATGCTGCGATGCCTTGGTGTCTAGGGACCCAAAAGGAAAACCGCCATTTTGCGGTGCCCCTATCTCGACGCATACATACTTGAGTTATGGTCAAAATTACTTGTTCCCCAAGAGGAGGGGATTTCAAGCCCATGGTTTTGGGAAATTTTGAGCTCGTCCCCCATGTCCCCGAAATTGCCGATGGTCAACTCAGGCCTCATTGCCCAGAGAAGCTCCCAATGGCTCCCAATGCCAGGTAGCACATAGTTGATTTGTTGGATTAGTCTGTTTGGGGAGTTGAATCCCTTCTTGTAGAGGAATGCCAGGTAATCTTAGTTGATGTTCTGGATTCGTTTGGGATTTGACGCACTTCTTGCAGAGGCTTGGGGTTGCCCGCCACACCTCCACCACTCCAAACCACTCCGCTCCGGCCGAGGCGCCGCCAGGCGCTTCAGGATCCTCACCTCCGCCTCCCCGGGGCTCGTTGCGCACAGCAGCCACTGGAGGAACTCCTTCACCTCCACCGAGCCGTCCTTGCAACGGCTTCGACGCGGGACTGGGACTGGGAGGTTTTATATATATATATATATATACATATACATATATATTTTTATATATGGTCAAGGCCCTCCCCCCCACCATGGTTCCCAGTTCTCCCCCCACCCCCCCTTGTGGTGTGGTTGGGGTGTGGTTTAGGGTTGCCCCCCCCCCCCCCGTGGTGGGGCTGGAATGCTTTAGACTTGGTTTAGGGTTGATCTAGTTGTAGTGGTTTAGGGTGGCTTGGGTTGGTTTAGAGTGTGTTCAGTGTTGGCTTAAAGTATGTGTTTAGGGTTGGTTTAAGGTTGGTTTATGGTTGGTTTAGAGTGTATTTAGTGTTGGTTTAGGATGTGTGTTTTTTTCCTTGGTGCAAGGGTGGTTTAGGTTAGTTGCGGGGTGGTTGAGAGTGTGTTTAGTGTTGGTTTAAGACATGTGCTTAGGGGATGTTTTAATCTAAGGTTGGCTTACGGTTGGTTAGGGTTGATTAAGTTGGTTCAGGCTTGGTTTAGAGTGTGTTCAGAACGTGTCGAGTGTTGGTTTTAGATGGGTGTTTCGAGCGAGTTTAGGGTTGGTTTAGGGTTTGTTTGGGCGCAGGGTGTGCCGAGGTGTGGGTTCAGGGGGTTCAGGGGCCGGGGTCTGGGGACCGCAGCAGCAGGGCCTCTCCTGGGGGTCGGGTTCTGGGGGGGGGGGGGGGATATGATTGGGGGGGGGGGACTGGGAACTGGGAGCCCGGGACCATATATATATATATATATATATGTATTTACCCTGTCCCCACCAACAGAAGGTCCCTTCAAGAGGAAACTGATCTTCCACATACCCTCACAGGTGCCACGTTAGTGGGAGGAAGAGTATACTTACCAACCCTTGGTATGGTAGCATGAAACTTTGCGTTTTGCACCCCACCCAGCAAAACATGGACAGAGCCCCACCCCCCAAGAAAAGAAACCTGCCAACAACAAAAAGGTATGCATCGTGTGTATATGTATATACACATCATCGAGGAGGGGATTATGTCTCATTTTTCCTAGAAGACCCTTGGTGGGTCTCATGATGGGTCAAATCCACGCCAGGCATCAGTTGGTAGATGGTGTATCTCCAATACTCATCGACAGTAGATCCAATTGAAAGGGTTCAATGTTTGCCATGCGTTGCCCTTCTGATCGATCATTGCTTAATTCGGTCTCAAAGTACCCAATTAGTTCCGCCCTTGTAGCAAGGTCCTACTTTCATACCCCCAAATGGACGAAAGCCATCCAGAAGACTTTTGAACCACACTTGAGTGAGGCGGGAACAAAAGCCAGCAAGCAGCAGGCACTATTTGTCGAAATTGACAGCGAATCCACAATAGCCTAAAAACACGCCAGCTGACCCGTGTTAGCATGGCCATCCCCACATTTCGCGACCTATGTCTGGCTTGTAGGCGGGGTGTGTCCATTTGAGGCACCAATTGGGTGCAACATGGCGCCTTTTTTTTACCTGAGGCCTCTTCTACCCTGAGAAGAAACCGCAGGGATCCGGACCCCAGACCAACGTGGCTGGCACATTTACTCGGGGCTTCCTTCAAACGGGGCTTGGATCCCAACTCAGATGGGTTTGTCTCAGACTGAGGATTTGGGCACACCATGATTGACGATCTGCGGGTCTCGGTTTAATTCAAACATCAACCCCTCATGGTGCTCCCCCCGCCCCCCCCGAAAAACAACATCCCTCCACTCTCGTTTCTCCGCTCGGCTCTGTGCTCCTTGTTGAGGTCCGCCGCCTCGAACATCTTCATGGCGCTGATTGAGGAGAAGGACTCATCCACCTGCAGTGGTCTCCAGGTTGGAAGGGTAGACCAAGAGAACACACACAGCCACACAGTTGGTCTCTATGAAAGGTCTCCCTGAAAGGCAAACCCCCCGGAAAAATGGGGTTCTCCCTGAGTGCTTGGGCTCCATGTTCCACGGTCTGTGAATTCCAATGTGAGCAAAAGGAAACCCAACAGGGACTAACGAGCCTGTTGGGCCCGTGATTTTTGAGAAGCTCACACCGGATTGCTCCCCTTGGACCCGATCGGAAGGGCAGAAATATGGCTGGCAAAAGGCTTGGTCATCTTTCATCGGCTCGGAGCAAACCTGTCAGGTCTAAACGAAGGTGATGCGTTTTCGGTTTCTTCCCAAGCGATCCCGCGATCATGATTCCCTTCCTGCGATCAAAAGAAATTGGGAAACAAATGCCTGACCATGCCTGACCCCTTGGCTTTCCTCTTCCAAAAAAAGGACACAAGCCCAGGAAACCTGCCCGGATTCCCCAATCCATTGGCGGAGATACCAACAAATAGGCCCAGGTGGTATCACCAAACCAGTAACCCCCTTCCAGAATCCTACGAAGCTGCTTGACACCACTCCGGATCTTATCTCCGACGTTTTCCGCGCCGGCATGTGTCAAAATAGGTGGTCAACCAAGTTGTGACCTGTGCAGGTTATACGCCGCATGGCCCCTTTGAAACACAGAGACACAGCCTCGGTGATCAGCTGACAGAACTCCTTCACCTTCATCTTGCCGTCCCCGTCCTATTGCCGGGTGGTGGCAGATACACACACGTCGTGTGTGTTTGTCTGCTTTGAGTGTGCCGGCTAGTTGTTGTTTGTTTGTGTTTCGTGTTCTTAGTTGATGACTTTATGTTGTTTTGCTTCTGTAGCTTGTTGTTTTGGATTTCTTCGTTGCTTGTCCGGTTCTCTTTTCGCGCAGTTGTCCAGGGTGCGCTTTTGAGCGGCTGGATTCGCATGAGGAGATACAGAGGCCAGCTTTACTCCCAGGAAACGAACTACAAAAAAGCGTGGACCCAAGGAGTGATTGAAGCTCGACTACTGGGACGGCAACCCCATTGAGGAGTTCCTTGAGGATTAACTCATCTCTTAGCATGACTGTGGACCGTGGTAGAGTACACTGTATTTCTCTGGCCAGTCAAATTCTGACCTAGCATGACCTAGGTCTCAGCTCAGAATTACCTGTAGGACAAACCCTTCTTAGGGGTCTCATGTACTATACTTGCTAAACCCATAATAACAGTTGCGTTTAAGTTTAGCTCTTGAAAGAGGCTGAGAAAGGCTGTCACACGCCTTAGTACAACTTTTTGACCAGGGAGTTGAACCTGTTGCTGAATTGGCCAACAGGGGCTTTGGGCACTGCTAGCGAGAACGTGCTATTTTTGGGGACCCTTCAGTGCATCATTCACGACGAAAGCATTATGCAACCACCAACCATGTTTGATGAACCTAGATTGCACACACACACAATAGGCGAGTCCATTGTAATGACTCAGATTTGGGCTTTAGACACACATACCTGGGGAGCCTCCTTGAAAACGATGCAGTCGTGATAATATGAGCAGTGACAAAAGGCCAATAGGGGACCACCAACACCTGGTAATGGCCGTTGCTCATGACTGCCTTCTGGTTCTACCGCGAAGGTCACAGGCCTTACAAACCCCGCCCCGCCTTCCAGGAACCAGGTCAGACGGGTAGAACCACCCCGAAAGCCCTTCGAAGCGAAGGTTTCGCCTCATCGTGGCGCGCGAAGAGCATCAAGAGCTCCGCCTCGCGCCTCGCGAGGTCGTCCGGGGTGAGCTGGATCGGGTCCTGCGCTTCGAGTCTGCGGAGGTACAGCGGGGCCACAAGTTCAACTTGCGAAAGTGTGCCTTCGAGCGGCAAGAAAACATGAGAGAGGGAGTTTGCATTGGGAGTTTTCTCGCCAGTGGGAGTATGCAATATTGAAATTGAGGGATCAGGGCAAGCCATGCACGACATTTTTGGCGCCACGAGTCTGCAATTTGCTCTCGCTATGCATTGGTTGCAGACGGCAGAATCAACAAGAGCAACAATTGTCACTCCCGTTTCTCGAAGAATTCTCACTGGGGTGGCATAGCCCGCCCATGAAAGGGGGGGGGCTAGCCTACGCCCCGAAGGACAAAGGTGACCTGCGACATCATGATCAGCGCAACTCCTTTTATTACCCAAATGCAGAATGGGGGTCCTTTGCCGGGTGACGAATCACAGGTTGAGAGTCCTGCGTCTCAAGAAACGTTGACCCCTGCAATACTTTGCAACATGGCTTCTATGCCCGTCCGCTGCTCAAATAGATTGCCGCGGGCCACCGCAAGCGCAGGCTTGTGTGTCTAGCATGCAGTGTCACAAGTGTGGAGAGACTAGAATATGGGTTGAAAATGCAAGCGCAAACCGTCGGGAAACTTAGGGAGACACTGCTAACAATAAAGTCAAAAAAAAACAATGTGCTTGTTTTACTCCTCAAAGAAATGTCAAAATGTCCAAGTATGCTGGAAACAAATAAAAACTGCTGCACGCCGCCAAATATCAGAATGCCCAATCGCCAACTCCAACATGACACAATGAGTACAATTCTCATCCTGTGATAGACCATGCTAGACAAATGCCACGCCCGCTCCGGCCAGACTAGATTCTAACGCCGTTCAGGCATTGAGATGATCCGCCTAGCTGAACCGAGCGAGAAAAAAAAAAAAACTTCATTCATGCACAGCAGCTACCCGATGCTCGTCAGGCTCATGCTTTGGGTGCGGCTTTGGCATAGACGCTCACATCGTCCACGAACACCGAGACATCCGCACAGCCAGCATTGGGCAGCACGTCGACAAAGAACTTCCAAGCGGTCCAGTCAGCCCTGGGAAGGGTGGTTGTGCCAACGCCGACTGTGAAGTCCGTCCATGTAGAAACTGCTCCAATGGTCTGCACTTTAGACACAAGATTCCCGGAGGATCCAAGGCCCAGCGAAGTATAGCAGCCAGCAGGCCACGTACCGCTGGTCATGTACTTCCCCTTCACCGCAAGCTCTACTACCTGGCATGGGGTGTGCTTGAGCCTTGAAACCTTTTTTAAGCTTGGTTTGAAGGGAAACCAAAAGGCAAACCCCCGAACACCATTTTTGGGGTCCCAAGTCCCAATATCCCTACTTGACACATACCCACCTGGTGCGTGGAGCCGCCAAGGCTGTCAGGCGCGTCATGATCCATGCCAATGCTCACCTCGATCTGCACATATGTATTGCTGGAATCCCTCACCACCTGCACATACTTGTTTCCATTCGACTCCCCAATCAAGGTCTTGCCAGTGCCATGGTTGAACCTGACGCGAATGGAATTCTCATTGTTCGTACCATTCACCAGGAAAACCTCAGTAGCAGATGTGCTGTCACAGTCAAAGTTGCTTGAGGAATAGAGGGTCATGTCGGCGAGGTTCACGTCATCCACGTTTGAGGGGTCTGCCGTGGTGGTTGTCGTTGTGGTAGTGGTGGTGCCCGCGGTGGTGGTGCCAGCGGTGGTGGTGCCAGCGGCGGTGGTGGCGCCGGCGGCGGTGGTGCCGGCGGCGGTGGTAGCAACAGTGGTTGCTTCCGTCAAACCTGCACAACTTTGCAAACAAAAACAATCGCGCTTTGGGATCTTGGCCAAAGCCCATACCCAACCCCTAACTGGTAGCGCAGCTGTCCTCTTCTGTCGGGACCTGAGCCTTGCCTGCTCCTGTTGCCCCTCTAAAACTCAAAAAAGTACCGGATGCACCCAAACGGGCACCACGCAACGCTTACAATGAAGCAAAGTCGTATTTGAGCATGACCGTCAGGAGTTTGCACACTTGTGGCTTGGAAAGTGCTAGTAGCAAAAACAACCATCTGATATCAAAGCAGGCGCCTCCGCTGGCATCTGAGGATATAGCCACAACGCCGCGACGGACACGACAGCAAGAGCCCGCAACATGGGGCCAAGCGTGTGGATCAACGTGGACCGTAAGACCACAGTCTTCGTGGCTTGAGAGCTGCCAAATCTGCTGATGCAACGGTTGCGCCTTGTCACAGTCGCACAAGCTCCACCAAGCCCCGGACGTGCAGCCAGAATTAAGGCGTGGCCTAAACCAGGCCCGGACTTGTCGCTTGCCTAGTTTGCGTAAACTGCAAGAAAATACTCTCCCTCTCCTCCTGGAAGACAAAAACCAACAAGTGTAAAACACAGGAGACCTGCAGGGCCCCAAAGGACATGCGAAGCCGAAGGGTTTCAAGCCAAATCCGACATCTGGGAACCCTCGGAATTCGGCAAATGCCCTGAGATGTCCCCTTGAAAAACAAGAAACACATAGTACCAATGTGGTGCCGTTGTTATCTGTTGGGTCCAAGAGCAATCCATGGTTGGGTCGGCCCTATCATGTGTTTTGCTTGGCTTTCTCGAGGCTGCTTGGGTCAGCAAGGAGACAAACGTACAATCCCCAGCGAATGCTTCTGGCAATACGAACAATTGGAATCAGACTCAAACCAACTTTCAACCAACGTGATCTGAAACAACCCAAAGTAATTCGAATGGGCCTGCGGGGCACTGGCACTATTCAACCAGACAGATGGCCTCATCACTGGCCAAGAATGCATGCCTCCCTACCCCAGACCCGAACCCCCCCGGCCTCGTCTTCATTCGCCTCCAAACTTCCGCTTCTGACCGGCCAGGGTCCCGCGGTGGTCTCGGCCGCCTTGGGATATCACCAGAACTCCCAGCGCTTGAACCTTTATACCATACCCTTGGTATCAGCTGCGCCGGCTACGCGTGTCACTTTGAAGGCCCTGTAGGTATTGATTCCGATGACTACTTTCACCACCTTCCATTGGGAACTCTCGAGAGGTATCACAGAAAACTTGACAACCGAAAACACACTTGTTCCACACCCATTGTTTCCCTTTACAGGCCCCAACAGGGCTCCACTACTGAGCGTTTCTCAGAAAATGACGGACCCCCCGTTAGGTCCGTATTTGAAGGGACACCAAAAAGGATACCAACCACTGCAAGAGACAAGACTATTGTGCTTTGAGCAACCCGACTCAGAAACATCAAGAACTGTGCCATTTTCAGGCTACGCTTTTTTAAAGTGTGGGGCGAGGGGGGTTGGGGAGACACGCTGCCGGCGCCACCCGTTTCAAGGCTTGCGGGCCTTCACTGCGCTCACGTTGAAGGCGGCGGCGGCGGCCGCAGGCAGAATGTCCAAGTCCAGCTGCGCCAAGCGGCTGCGCACCCAAACCTTGAAGCCTCAAGCAGCCGCTGCCGGCATTTGCGGCACTGGAAAGGAGCGGCGCTGGAATTATTGGGCACCGTTCAGCGTGTTTCGTCACCTCACCCATGTCGCGCGGCCAAAATCCTTGCAGAAACCCAACAAAAAACTGTAGAAACCGGTCGAACCCCTCTCCAATCACCCCTACTTCCCATCCAGACCATCCAAATCCTCTTTCAAAGACCGGTCCAATCCTGAGAATGCTCCTGCCAAATCCCTTCTAAAAACAAATCCAACTCCCCAGAAACCGGCAAAAGCCCCCCCCTACCAAAAACTTGCACCTTCGCTCCCTCCCACTGCCATTCTTATGTGGCTCTCGTTCTGGCCCTTGAAGTCATGTGGAAACACGCGGACATGCACCCACCCTCAACCTTGGAAACCATCTCACGCATTTCGGCGCCGACTCACTCACTCTAATAAAGACAAGACTTCAAGGCAAACTAAAGCACTATATACACCTCAAACAGCGGACTGGCCGAGGCGGGCAACGCGATGCGTTGACAATGATCATTCATGCATTATATCTGTGTTTTTACTCTTATATACAGAGCGTCTTCGTTTTTAGGGGGGTGTCCCTGTTTGCAACAACCTGCCACGGCTGTCCCTTTGCCACACGTTAATTTGGGACAAAATTTGCGTGGAGTCGTAATCACTCTTTTCCGGGGCGGCCAATGCAATTGTCCAATAAGGTAGTCCTGAAAGGACAACTCTGCCCGTGACCTTGCTAGAAAACTCCGGAACAACTCTGGGCCCCAAAATGGGTTTGTCTCAAACTGCGAGGACCGAAAATGGCTGGTTCAACTGGTTCCCTTTCCGTCTCCTTTCGAATCGAAAGGTAATGTCCAAAAACGAGGCCCAAAGGGCTCTACTTTTCTGAGCGTAACAGACCCTTCCCGCAGTCTTGTGCTCCAAGCAGCTCTGCAGCACCGGCCCTAGCTTCTCTGCGTGCGCCAGAAGCTTCCGGTACCGCTGCAGGCACCAGGCCTCCAAGTCCGTTGGGGCGTCCTGACCGGCAAGGCGCAAGGGGGTCAGGTCCCTACGGGTACCACCACAAAATCACACAACTTGTTGCTCCAAAGACCGGGCGCAAACATAGCAGCCCGTTGGCGCCTGAAATCAAAGGAAGCCAACTTGATGTTCTACGCATGTGGTTCGGTCAGTCTTTAGAGGCTCGGGGCAACCCTGATTTGGCAAACAAATGCTTAAACTCACCAGAAAGGTGTTGCCGAAGAAGGACTCCCCGTTGTGATTACCTGGTGTGGTCCCTGCATGTTCGTCCCAAACCAACAGTAGCTGACGACTGATATGGTCAGTGACTCAAAAATCAAAAGGCTGTGTCTCAACCTGTGGGAACCTCCAACATGTCATGTGGGCGGTTGTCTTCCCACCCTCCCACGCAGGCTATAAACCATAAAACTGCTCCAACCGGCCCCAAGCACCCTTCTCAAACACACCTCCAAAGTGAGCTTATTTGTTCAGAACCTTCCAAAGCGGTGTGTCACGTTTTGACTTGGGGGGTCCGGTCCACAGGGGCCGGAACCCCGCGTTTCCTCGTGGTTGCTGCAGGCCAGGTTCCAGGAGAGCTTCCGCAGGCAGACCGGGCAAAGGTCCACCTAAGCATTTCACGGAGCAACGCCTGACAAGTTGGAAACTCGGCCATCAAATCTGGACATTCGGCAGCTGACCCCCAGACCAAGCCTGAACAGGATGGTTATCACCATGCATCCCGACTGTAAATGTTTCAGAAACTCGACACCTGAACAAAGGGTTCCCAAGCAAAGGACCTATGATGAGCTCGTCTTGCCACCAGTGGAGCTCGCCAGAGAGCTTGCAGATTGATTTGTTTGCTTTAAATACCAGCTAAACAGATTTGGACACCCCAAGAAAATGATGATCTTGAAACAACATCAATGAGGGGCGTGTTGACAGTGGCTCAATGCGAATTGGTCCTAAAATTGGATTTGCCCTGTTTTGGTGACAGCACTGTTTACAAGGTCAAGGACAAAGGGCATGATTCCCCTGTCAATGATATGGACACATATCACAAGCATCAATGCGAAAGCGCAACCCTTTACTCAGAACTAGAGGCAACACTCGAAGATCCGTATACCTTGGGCTGTCTTTCAACGACACTCGCACCAGTGTTCCTTCAAGTGTATCGTCAGGATGCTAAAAAACATGCAATCAAGCAGAAATCCTAGTTGAACACCAACGAAGGGAAATCCATGTCAGTGGGAGAGTGTGCAAACAACTTAAAATCTGGAAATGCAGCACCACACAGCACACTACACACCTCACTTGGAGCGTTGAATTTCGAGGATCATCTGCCCAAGCTACTCGTTCTCTTTGCCCAGGTGGGTCTGTGTTTTTGTTCAAGGTACCCCTTTTAGGGTGGTGTTGAAGGAAATTGAAGGGAAAACAACAAATTCTTGGGTCGAATCCTTCCTTCGACACACATGCATGGGGCACCCTCCCTGTGCCCTCTGCCCCTCACACCCAAGCCCGCCTTGTCCTGATTGGTGTCGCTCTCATGCAACCCTGCGCTGCCCTGCATGCCTCGCGAGGTGCATGCGGAAGTCCTGTAATTTCTTTTGAACAAGGAGACCATCGTCATCAAGTTGCCCACACGGCTGACCACCCAGAAATCATGTGTTGTTTTGCATACTAGCTATGATCATGGAACCCCAAAACCATCCGTCTGCAAAGGGGTCCATTTCTGAGGAAGGGCTGACTTCTTTCTGCGAGCTATTGGCAAAGCGGCAGCATCATGGCTTGATTGGCAACTATCGCTTTGGATAATAACATCAATCCAAATAATCGTCACATCACCAACTCTCCTTTGATGAATGGCAAAGCTTATTGATTTTGCACTGCCAAAACTCTAGCCGATCCCTCAAAAAGTGCAGAACAAATTGCAAATAGCAATGACCAAAGCAAAACAAGTTTGGTTCCATCTGTTTTCCACCAAACTGAAACCAGAAAGGTTGCGTAAATATGATGCCATGTTCTGCAGATCAATATGATTCTTGGCCTTTGGGTTTCAAGCCCCACCCGCGCTTGCCATAGCCAGGCCGCTTTGCGGCGGTATGTGTAATTACCAGGGACCGTTTTGGTTGGCGCGATGCTCAAGGATTGTTATATACATATAGTCAGGAGTATGGATTCTCCAGCTTCTCAAACGGAGGCAGGTACAACCCTAGGGGTACACCCTCACAAGTAAGCGACATTCGCTCTTGATTTGCCCCTGTCTAACCTTACAATGTACACATAGTGTAAACTGTGTGGCGTCTCTCGTTCTCGCTCCCCCGTTTCAAGGGCGCCGGGGAAATTGGCCGGATTTGTGGTTTGGAGGCTTGGGGTGGGTTCCCATAAACCCGCAAATCGCTGAAGTTCAAATCCAGACCACCAATCCAAGCCACTAATTTAGCATTACTTGAAAAAGTGGGGAACCCTTCCCCCCCAAAAAAAAACAACAACATGTGGCTTCCCTTTGGTTTCCTTTTTTTCCCCAGTACCAAAAAGGATGCCTTTTCGCCTCCAGAAACCAAAGGGTTTCCTGAACCGAGGGGCGGCAGAGGAAGAACTGGCAGCGCTTCAGCCCGAAGAAGTGCCCCAGGTCGTGGGACACGATCTGATGCCCGCGTCTCAGCAGGGTCTGCGGGCGCTGAATTGAGAGCTCGAGGCTATGAAGGCGTCCACTGCCACTTATTGGAAGGAAGAATTGTAAAGGGTTGCCATGGAACCTTTGAAAGGATCAAAGACAGAGTGAGTTGCCTTGGAGCCCTTTTGAAAATGAAACAACTTCACGTGTACTGAAGCCTTTTCGAAGGGAAGCGCAAGTTGCAACATGTTCTTCGGGGGATCAGGGGGCCCCTTACCAGTTGACATGTTCTATCACACACGGAAACACACCTTGTCCTGCAACCCTTTGAAAGGTGACCGCCACCAGTTGCTATGCACCTCTAAGACAAAACAGAACCAAACGCTACAGAACCCTCTGAAAGAGAAACGCAGCCAATCGCCATGGACCACTCAAAACGAAATACAACAAGCCGCCATGGACCCGTTCAAGGAAGACACTTCAACACATTGGTGCGGACAATGCATGTGGTTCATGAACACACACTCCAGAAAATAACCTTCATGTTGTTCGTTTTGCTAGGTCGCCACATATTGCCCAGAAGCATGCTGAATCAAGAGGCTTAATTTATGACACCCATCGATGTATGCATGATATGACGCCCTCTTGATTGGCTAAGCCACTGAAGGTCCACTGCCGTGGGCTCACGCATGGGTCCATACAATCTGGGCCAGTGACAATAATTCACTAATTGCCCAGAAGGAAACCCCAAGAAAGTGACCTACATCATGGGTGAGTTCGTTCTACCCGCGACTGAGATGGCTGAGCCACTATGACTTGTGCAAATGGACACTGGAAACTTGTGGGTAACAACTGAGCGAGTCCCCCAGTGTGATCACAGACTGGACATGTTGCCCGAACCCATGGTGGGTTGACAAAACGTCGAAACTTTTGGGCAATCCTCTTGAAGGTTTCGAATGACACAAGGGGAAACTGATCCCCAATCTGCAAAACCGCATCTGGTATCTGCCCAAGACTGATACCCAATCCGCAAAATCATACAGGATCTACTCAAAGATCTACCCAAAGGCGATACCTTGGTAGCACTTCCGCGGTTTATATGAGTGTGTCTCTTTTGAGGGCACCCCAGTTTTGGTTGTTTTAAAGGGAAACCAAAAGGATCACCACATTTTTTTGGGGGGTCCCTTAAAAATAGACACCCCCATATGGCGTCCGTTGACACGCGCCTCCAGGTCCCCCTCTCGCCGCTCCTTGGGGTAGTCCTCCGAATGGATCACGGGGAGACGGTCCCATTTCAAAGGCTGGTTGGCCTTTGTTTGTATTCAGACCTGAGCGGCTATTTCCACGAGCCACATAGGTATCACACCCTTTTTCTCTGTTTGTTTTTTGGTGGGCTTCCCTCTCAAGGTGGTCAACCCAAAAAAGGGCTGCAACTGGCGTACAATCAAACCCGGGGTACAAATGGAGGGAGCCAACGTAAATAGCAACAGCAACCAATGCTTTTCCAGACATTCCAAGCCGGGATGAGCGCCTTTGTGTTTAGTGGCTGAGGGTCTCAGCCAGAAATGGGTGCGGTCGCTCTTTGAATTCTTTGCATGTTTGCAGTGGACTCCTTGAATGCCTGGCTTTCACAATGATTTGGCTTCGCTTGTCCTCTCTGACACCTTGCCTTTGTTCCAGCCAACCGAAGGGGGTTGCTCCCAGCCCCCTTCAGAGGTCGCTAGACCTTCTGTGGGTTTAGATAATGGAAAAGTCGATTGTTTCCACCAAAAGGTCAAAGGGGCCAAGGTCATATCAAAGACCAGCCATGAAAGAGGATGCCTCACATCTGGGTGAAGTTGACCATCCAGGCTGTGTAGTGTTCAATTCCCCAAATCTTCCGGACCCCAAACCCAGTCCTCCACTACCTTCATCACCTCGAGCGAAGGCGGCAAATAAGAGGCTGCCAAATGAGGAAACCAAACATGTGTACTTTCCCTTGGTCTCCCTTCGAAACCCCAAAAAGGGCACCCTCAAAAAGCGATAGATTGATAGATCCACGCCGAAACAGCTTGGCCGGAGCCTAATCGCAATTGAACCGCCACCAACATGGTGCAGCTGGCCGCACAAGTCAAAACCACTCTCCCTGCTGAATACTTTTGAACCCACGAAGGACGTACCTTCGCTGGAGCATCTTGGATTCCAGGCAAGTGAGGTCTGCAAAACCCCCACAAATACCCAAACAACCGGGAAAGGACGCCAAAAACGGCTTGGGTTGAGACCGTCTTAACAGTATGGACGCAAGGCTTACCAAACTTGCGCCCCAAAGGTGGCAAAAGGACTATCCCGACCCAAACCTCAAGAACTCAGCCAAGGATCATTCGGGGAGTTTCTAAACACGCTCCATGATGGGTTTGATCCCACTAGTGGGGAACCTAGTGACGAAAGGGAAAAGGCCGGGACTACGGTCGCATCAAGCCGCGTCTAAACGTGCTTCAACACGCCGCCGGATTCTGTACCAGTTTTCCTTTTGAATCTGGCAGACTCCGTGAGTTCTGACGAGGCTGCCCGGTCCCTTAAAGTGGGTGCATCCATTGAACTGAGAAAATAAAGGAGAAAATCGCCGGTGTCCCTTCTGGCGTCTCTTGAACACCCCCCAAAAGGTTCTGTTTCACTAAATCGAGCGTTTCTCAAATCATGGTGGGCCCTGAATTGGTTGGTCTGTCAAGAGAAACCAAAAGGATGCCAACCAATGTGGGGGAACACACCACTGAACTGTGCGACACACGTCGACCGTTGGGCCGGCTTCTCGGTCGAGTCGCATCGAAGTCCATGTGGCAGCTCACGCGGTACCAGGCTGGGTCCAGGCGGCAGAAGGAGAAGATGCCAGCGCGATCCTGCACGGACCTCGGCCCCAGAGGCATTCCAAGGGCAACCAGCGACCCGAACAGCAAAACAAGCTGTGGCTCGTTGACACCCTGCAAAAGTGCGTAGTGCCTTGGTGTGAAATACAGTAACCCAAGGTGGGTCCAGTAACCCAAGGTGGGTCATCCCCATGACTCCGTTATCACTTTCAAGGGAAGTCGCTTGGTATCGTAGACATTGGCCCTAAAACATGTTTCTCCACAAGCGGGGTACTTCCCAGTTGTAACCCGTCACCCGCACAGTAGAACAAGACTTTGTTCGTGGTTGAGTCTTTCTGTTAGCAAAAAGGGAACCTGAGGTACTTCCCGTAGCCAAAAAAGGGGACCCCAAAAAATTGGTGGCTCTTCTTAGATTCTTGGTTGTCGAAGCTTGCGGAACCTTGAATGCAGTTCAATCAACGTGGGAACATCCAAAACACAGTTGAAGGTTCAAAGAAATCTTCGTTTGACTCCTAGTGAGGTGTGTTACGGCTCTTCCAGAATCGGCACGGAGCCCTACCAATGGTTTCAGTCGGTTCTCCTCTTGGCTTCCCAGGCACAGCCGAACCCTTCTTGGGTTGGAGCCGGTTTGCCCCCCAAGGCGAGCTCGCTATGATGTCAACCCTGGATGAATACACGTCTGGTGGATTAGGGGTGTCCCCTTTTAGTGGGGATTCGGAACCTCGATTGTTTCAAACGGGTTTACAAAGTCGGGGTCAACGTTCTAGTGCAAAATGGACTCGACATATTGAGGATTCCGTCTGTCTGTCTTTTGTGGAGATTCTGTGCGCAGGCCCAGGCCGCGAGCCCACATTGACCATATTCTACTCGAACGAACCAGTTGGTCAGGCTGACAAAACGTCGACCCGTCTAAGGGTTGCAATAGATGACACAGGCGTCCGCAAGCCTCTGCTACTGATCTGGTCAAAGGCAAAGTTAATGGACACCTGCACCAAAAAACAAAACAACCCGCAAGTCTAGGGGGAACTTCATTGTTCTCTCCCGGGATTTCCACAAACCAGAACCAACCCTACAGCAAGGAAAGGTTTGCCGGGGCCAGCGACAGCGAGCTGTGCACGAAGCTGTGGCTGCTGTCGAAGAGATCCTGGCATGTGCCCTGGAAGGATCTTGGAACTTCTGGGGAACCTCGATGCCTGATCGACCGACGCAAAAATAAATAATAATGATATAAAAGTAAGGATCCACCTACTCAGTTTGACGGGTTGGGGCGGGCGTCCTCCAAATTGCAAAAACAACTTAGCAGTTTGGGGGCTCCCTGTGCTTGCCACCGAGTGGATTTTTTTAGGATTGAGAAGTTGGTCTGCTTTTCTGGGGAGTTTCACTGAACGGGAACCCACACCAATCTGCCAGCAAACGGCTTTGAAGAAAAGGAGCTGTTACTAGTCGGGGCACAAGCCATCCAACGGGTGGGATATATTGGGTACCTCCTGTTGGTAAGTTGTGGCAAGAAAGACATTGCCACGCTCGACAAATCACCCGAACTTCCCTGCTGCTCCAAAAATCCGCGGATTGCGTGCCTTGCTGCGGGTTGAACAAGAAATGGGTTCACATGATAAAGTTGAGCCAATCCAGCATGCATTCCCGCGTCGAGGTGTGGAACCCCCCCCCCATCATGAAAGATGCCTCCTCAAAACACAAGGCATGGGTCCAAAGCCACCCTGCAGGGGCGGTTTCGAACATTGTGAGGATACTCTTTTTCAGGTTTCCTTTCGGATTTTCCCTTTTGAACCCACCAAACAGCTGGTCTTCCAAGGCAACATGTCTCCTCCATGGTGATGCCCAGGATGCAAAAGCCATCCGACGGGAGCCGGATGCGCAGCTGCCGGAGGCTATCTTTGGCCTGAAGCGGCCGGAGATGGTTTTCGAGGTTCCTTGCGTGGGCCCCGAAAGTCAACCTTTTGCTCTCTCAATCGCCATGTGAAACACAGCTAGGCTAAGTCAACCTGCTGGTTACGAGCGAACATGAAGGAAACCCAGATGAGGCAGAAGGTGAGGCGGGACTCTTTCGCAGCTTCAATTGTTGTGTCATGGCTGGTCTGAAAATTGACTACGCAACGTGATTACAGCTGGCTTCCAGGGTGAAGCTATGTTATTCCATACTCAACACAAACAACAGGGCCTGTCTCAAAGTTGTGACCCCACAAAGCAGGCGGTTTTCTTTGGGCTACCCTTCAGATTCAAAGCAACTCCAAAAACAAAGCCCCCCCCCCCACAAAAAATACACACACACACAAAACCATTTTGTCGACCTTGCACATCTCCCCACTTTTTTCCCTGACGTTGTTGAAAGCTCCCGATTGGCTGGGGCCCCAAGAGTTTTCTGTTGTGGCCTGACAGTGAAGCTTGGACGGCTGTTGTTTTTTTTAAGGAATCGGTGTCCTTTTGGTTTCCCTTTACCCACCAAAAGGAGGTCCGAATGCCAATAAAGAAACACCCACTTGCTTGGCCAGGACCGAAAAGGGCGGCCACTTTTTTGGGCTGATGTTTAAAGGGACCCCTCCAAAACAGAAGGGGCCGCCATGGGGCCTGCAAAATGGATCTCTAAAGAAGGCACAAAGGAACGCTTTAGGTCTGGCTAAAAAGGTGATCCAGAAGTACCTTCAAACAGCTTGATGTGTGCATGTTTTAAAGTAGGCGGCCAAATGCTTTTGATTCCTCTTTCAACCAACCCAAAAAGCGGGCACACTCAAAAACACACGGGTACCCGTGTAACTGCCGTGACACTTGTTCTCGCCCATTGCACGCCAAGTTGTTCCCAACACCCTACCCCCGGCCGTTGACAACAAGAAGCACAAGAGGAAGGCCCCAAAAGGAACAGCACGGGACAACAAGCCCATTAGTAGGAACTCAGGGCCACCTTCAAAACCTTCAAACCCGGTGATTTGCTCCTGGGACTCCTGTCACCGCTGAGTGTTCTCCCTCGGGTTTCCCGAAAAAACGGGGAGCACCCCCTGGCCGTGCTTGCCAAAGCACGTGATACTGCAGGTCGCCCCCGTGGCCGTTGCTCCGGGAGGCGATGCCCCGGCCGAAGAGGAGGCCGTCGTAGGGCAAGACTTTGCAGGGCAAGTCGAACCTGAGATCCGGAAAAGAAACAAGCTTGTTGGGTGACCCTAAACGGGTTCTCATAAATGGGTTCTAAAATATTCTCCAGGCTGGAACCCTTTGATGGAACGAGAGAGCCTTCACATTTGAGATCCGATCTGTGCATGTGGTTCATACATGTTTTGTCATTCCACCACTGTTTGAGGGGAAACGTCCCTTAAACTTTACACCATTTTTTGGAGGGTGATATTCAGGCGCAACGAGCGTGAGATTCATTTGATCCTCTCCCCCCCCAGAAGCCAAAGAAATGAGTGTCAATCCGGGGTACCCCATTCAAGAAAGAATCCAATCACTTTGGGGGGGGCCTTTTCTGTGTTAATCCTCCAGGGGTGCTCATCCGGGGTCATTGTTGATGAATGGTTGTTGGTTTCGGTTGGGAGAATCACAAAATATGGCCCGAGTTTTGACCTGATCAAAGCCAAACGAGATCTTTCCGATGGTACCCCTTTTACACTTTAAGAGGAAAGCAAACGGATTGCCACCATATCGGGGACCCCTTCTTCAGCGCCACCACCAAAAGGGAAACTCACCTTTTTGCCCAAAATGTGGACATTTTGCAACCCTGAGAAGCAGGAATGTGGGGAATCCCCGGATTTTGACTCCCCGACCGTGTCCATCGAGGCCAAGGCACCACGCCTCGATGAAGTGCGCAAACATACGCAGGTCCGGCAGCGTGCCCCGCAGCCGCGAGGCGTGCGGCGTGGGGTTGGCCTCGCCTCACGACGTGCGGTTTACGACGGAGTCCCATACTGCGGTCGTGCAGCGGGGAAGGACGAAACCCGGGGATTAAGCGCCTCTCTGGCACATTTTGTCCATCCACAGTAGGGTTCGAAATATTTGGGCCCTACCAGCCCACAGTAGGGTTCGTTCGTCTTAAAACCGTCCCAATGGTTTTGACCAATCCACCTTGTCAGGTGTCCCCTGTCCCCGCCCCCCCCCCCCTGGTCTTCGAATTTTGATTGGGAACATCCTCAAAGTAGTTGGCAGGCGCCAATTCTTTCTGTTCATGATGTCCACCAAAGGCCCCCCCAATACAAACTTTACGTCCATATCCCGGATAAACCATCCCCTTCCGACCGCTTTCTGTTTTGCTGTTTCCAGTCTCATTTGGGGTATAGAGGGATTGGGGTCCCATGACAGCTTTCATTCGAGGCCACAGGGGGTGACCGAATTTAGGCCCCATGGTGAAGGTTCTTGGCCGTCCTTATGTCAGGAGGGCGTGAATTCTGGCGTCTTGCCCTGGAATCCGCCCTCAGTTTTTCCGCAAATTCCAAGGTCGCAACGAGCGGGGAAACTACCAAGGGGGGTCCACGCTGGGATGCGAGTTCGACCTTCGGCCAGCCGAGTCCTTTAGGCTCGAGGAGGAGAGGGCCTGAGCCTCAAACACCTCGAATGAAAACTTCCCGCCCAACCTGGAACCTCCCCCCGCTTTGAAGAAACATGTCTTGCAGTCGAGTTTACTTGTGGAAAACTGAGTCACTGAGGGGGAAACTAAATTTCCAAGCAAACCCAGGGGCTCACCCAGGGGGGGGTTCACTATATTTCAGGCACGAATATGAACCCAGGGGCTGGGAAAACCTCCACATGGGGCTTCCAGGAAACCGGGGAGGGAGGGGAGCCGCTGAGGCGCTGAGAGGCAGCAGGTACACCCGGTGCAGCAGCCGCGTGGGCCCGGGGGGCTGCTCCAACACGTAGTCCTTGAAGCTCTGAGCCTCCTCCTTGCCGCTGAGGAGCCCGGGTTGCCAGACTAAGTTCAAGGGCAGTTTCAGGTATGGGTGTGCTGGTGATATGGATATAACATGTACCGATATATATCTATATATATATTATGTTATGTATATTATATATGTATATTATAATCGTCCGTACCACCTGAATCCCCGTACATCCGCTGACCCGTATAGTAGGAGACAAAGGGAGCCATCCCTTAAACACTTCCGGGAAAATGGCAAATTCGGTGCCAGCTATACTTGGAGCGGGGATCTGAATTCCGAATGACTCCGTTTGCCAGTAGCCAACCCTTTAATCACAAAACACCTCGCAGCCGCTTGGCCGATCCTTGCTCCCTTTCAAACCAAGGGAAGGCGCCCCGAGCGTCCCTTTTCGCTGGCCGGCCTGCCGGCCAAACGTGGCTTGCTCAAGAAATTACCGTGACCTGCGCGGTTTTTTTGACGTGCCTGGGCAGTGAACATCCAGGTGTCCGGCAGGGGCGGGAGGATGGGCATGTAGATTGGGCTCAAAGGTTGCAACAGCCGCGACAGGCGCTGCATCTGGACGCTGGACCTACAGAGATGCCCGAAGCCGGGTAGCCCAATCTGGTCAATCAATCGAATCAATCGAATGAATCGAATGAATCGAACATCACCAGTGTGAATTAAGGAATCCCGAAATGAGGGACCTGAATCATCCTATTCCCCTGAATTCAGCAGTCCCTCAGGGACCTTCATCAAGAGGCAGCGCGTTCTGTTTGTTGAGCTCGCTGATGATCAATGCAGAATGGTTGGCTCAAGAACAAAGGCCCAGGGACCCTCAAATTTCAATCCAAACCAGCAGCTGTGTCATGCATTGTCCTGGATCCAATGTCCAAAAGCGACTAAACGTGGGCAACTTTGAATGTAAGGATGACACCCGATAAATCCCCCCCCCCCAGATTGGATCGGCCTCGTTTTCGGGTCGATGCCAGCTACTTGCAGACACCAAGATGTTGGCCAAAGATCCTCCTGAACTCAGTTTTAGCACCTTCCAGAGAGCCCCTGAACAAACGTGACGTCTCTTTCGGTCCTCCCAAAAGCAAACAACCGAACAGTATTATTCCGAACTAGAAGGCTGCTGTCAATATGTCTACCACTAAATGCATACGTCTCATAGTTCCCAGAGTTGATATTCCAAATCTCCTCAAACAGCTAGCCGGGAAACTGTATGATCTTACGTCGCGGAGCTTCCAAGAAACCTGGACCTCAGGTGGCCGTGAGGAAATAGCGGCCCCTTTGTGGTTGATTCTAAAGGGAATCCGCCTCCAAAAAAGAACACCGCGGCGACCGGCGACGCCTCAGCTTCTCAGGGTAGTACTGCTCCAGCAGGATCTGAACTGACTTGCCTATCGGGTGTTGAATCTGCACAGGAACAAATCCGAATGGGTTTGTCTGTACACAAAACGGATGGTTTCCTTGTAGATATGTTGTTGTTGAGGCCCATTTTGAAGTTGTTCGAAGGGAAACCAAAAGGCGATCCAGGCTTTAGGGGGTCCCAAATCACATTTATTCGCATCCCTTTCCATCATCACCTGAAACTGGACACCGCCACAGGGCAACAGTTGCAAAACCAACAAACAAAAAGCATACACATGGCGAAGCCCCGTGAAAATGCCCAGCGCGAAGCCAGCGACACAACGTCCTAAGGCCACGGACGGCGCCCGGCCTTCGGCGACGCGCCGCAGGGCCTCCTCGGAGTTGTCCAGGCCAATGGCCTGGCTCTGTCAATGGGAATCGGCACATGGCCCGTGTTTTTTTTTGGCCCCAAAGTACCAATCAAGGGGACCAGTTTGGGAAACTCCCAAGGGCTGCTTCTTCAAGTTCGAGAAGGAAGTGGAAACCAGCTGGCTCGATCAAATCCAAAAAGGTTCTTCCAACGGTTGGCCATGGTGAAACAAGTGGGACTCCAAAAGAGGGCTGGGTACGCCGAACGTCTTGTGGGTTCTTTAAAGCGCTTGGCTCACGCCTCCAGCTGCGCCGGCAAGGGGGGCGGCTGCCAGGCACCAGCCTGGCAAGGGCTTCCCACCCACAAAAAGCACGCACGCACCTCTCTCTTTCTCTCTCTCTCTCTCTCTCTGTGTTTGTCTTTCTTTGGAGACACAACTCTTTGGTTGTGCCGCAGGGAAGCTACATGATTGTGCTTGGATTTTTTGTTGGGGAGGAGGGGGCACTGTTTTGAGACAAACCAGCATGCAGATTCACTACGTCACTACGGGTGTGTACAGGGGAGCTCTCACATGTTGGGCAGTGGAATCTCAGAGATGAACCACGTGACATGGTTTGCCAATAAAAATAGTAGCACAAAAGATACCACAGCAACCGCAGAAGGGTACCCATCTAGATCCCAACATGCCAAGAAACATGTCAGAGGCTCCACGACACGGGTTTGAACTAGGATCTGAGAAGAAGCTGCTGACGCAGGATCTCTCTCCTAGGTGTGTTGTGTGAGCTAGCTGCCTTTTTGGGGGTGGACAAATATGCAGAGAATCCAAAGGGAAATCGAACCCGGTTTTGAGGGTTTTCAGACACAACCGCACCGTCGCAGCCTCCCCCCGCCCCCAGTCCCCGAAAAACAACCTCCGTCTAAACAACCCAAAAAGCTTCACTTCTTCAAACAACAACAGCATCCCCTCTGACGTGTTTCCGGAAAAAGGTGGTAGCACCAAAATGGCTTTCTTTGGGGTTCCTTAAGGTGTGGCATGTTGACATTGGTGTGTCTTCTTTTGAGGCTACCTCCCGGAAACTGCTTTAAAGGCCAACCAAAAGGAAAGCCGAAGCCACTTGTTGGTGTCTTAAATTTTATATAAGCCCACACGCATATGGGTGCAATCATATGGGCATGTCTCTGTCTGCTTTTTAGGCAGACTGCAAACATTGCGGATGAGTTTCCTCCCCGATCCGCCTCCCGGCGCTTCCGGCTTTGGGCCCGCCAGCGCCCCAGCGCCGAACCCGAACCCGAGGGGCCCGAGCCCGAGGGACCGGCCTTGGGCCTGCGAGACGTGCCGAAAGCCGCGAGCTGTGGGTTGGGAGCCCAGCCAGAACGCTGGAGAACTGCACCGGCCACTTGCTGGTAGTGGGGGTCAGCGAAAAAGGCCGAACTTCCATAAGATATGTCAGGGCCTTTGGTTAATACCGGGACCCTCCGGCGGCAGAACTTTCTGCCGAAAGGCCCCGGCGGCAGAAATTTCCGCCGAAAAGCCCAAAAAACGCCGCCCGCAAGAAAAAAAACGCTGAAACGCAACAAACACTCCGACATGCTGAAACCTGCTTCCGCGAAATTCCGCCGATTGCCCGCTGAATTCCGCCGATTTCCCGCCGATTTCCTGCTGCCTGTTTTGCACAGAACTTGACTTTGAAAAAAACGCTGCCAAGGAAACTAAAAACGCCGCCAACAGCAAAAAGGCGCCTTTTTCCAAAAAGGCAGACACTTCTGCCGATTTGGGTGGTCCAGGTATGTGTTTGCCTGCAACCACTCATAAGATACACGGATCCCCGCACACACATCCGCGTGGGTGGCTTCACATCGGCAGGCCTCCCTCAGCGCCTGGAAACTTGGGAGAGAGTCATCACTTGAGACTGCACCAGCTTAAACCTGCAAGAGCCTTTGTTTGGCTGCCAGTGTCTTCCCAAATGGGCACGTCCATGTTTGTTGTAAAACTGAGGGTGGCTTGGGCTGCATGGCTGGTTGGGTGAGCTTGGCAGGGCTCCCAAGGTAAACAGCACCACCAAGAGGAGGCTCCCTTGGAACTGGCCCAGGAGGCGATGTTTCACCAAACAAAAAGTTGAGGGACCCGGACCCCCGTTTAGTGTAGCCAAAAAGCACGTGCCCGCGCCTGGGTGCCGGGGACGCGGACCGGGAGGGGCGGCGCAGGTTCTGCGAGAGGCCCCAGGACCCGGTGCCGTTCCTCGGCAGTCGACGCGTCTCATGGGATCTGCACCGACCACCATGACTTACCTGAAACTGAGGAATTAATCAAGGAACCTTCATGCAGGTGACACTTGAAAGCGATGATGGAACACTTCTGGAAACCAGAGGAGAAAAGTTTAGGGTGGCCTGTATAGTGCGGCGGGAAGGACAACTCCGTGATTCACTGCATGTTACCGCATGGTGTTGTGGCCTTGCACAAAAAATGAATGATGGTACTTTACAATTTACAAGCTTTCCAAGGGCTAGTAGTTTTTGTGCGCGGTGTTCAAGCTCTCAGCTTATCAGCCTGTTTGGCCAAGGTGCTGCTAAAGCAACATTGTGCAAACCACAGAACATGCTTTCAAAGGCATTGCGCACCTCAAACCTAAGATTCGCATCGTCCAGCCATGTTGATGAAGGTGCTGCCAAACGCAGCAAACACAAAACATGTTGGAGGAGCCATTCAACATCGCAGAACCCAAACCTAGAACTTCATATTTGTGTTCAACAATCGTTTTAAATCAGTTTCTTCTGAGAATATTGTCTGATACCCGTTTCAGTTCTTCCAGGGGGTGCCTTGAGTGTGAACATCCAGGTTGCCGGATGTTCCAAACGGTGCTGCCACACATTTGGTGCAGCTCACCTGAGTCACAATCAAAACCCGGTACAAAAATGGTCACGTAAAGAACCAAGAAGGCGGCCTCGGCTATTTATGGCTGGGCTCGTCCCTTACTAACCTTCAGCTACCCGGGTTTTGAGCACGTGACTCACCTGACCGCTCGGAGCTTCGCATTCCCCGGCGCCGGGGACTGCGCGCGCCGGCCCGGGCCCGGCGGCGGGGAGCTGCTGCGCCGCGCCAGGCGCATGGCTCTGAAGTCTGTGCTTCGGAGAAGAGCTTGTGATGAGATCTCTAATGAACACCCCCTATTGATAAACCCTTGTTTATTAATATAGGGTGTCCCTGGTTTTAGTGGGGATTGTTCACTTTTGGAGGGGACACCCCCTATTAATAAACTGGGGTTGATTAATAGGGGGTCGACATTATGGGTTACGTGTGGTTGGTTTATCTCACGCCAGTGACCAGCCAAAAAAAAATGTCGCTTTTGGCTGTGACAAGCCAGTGACTTGGCCAGTGACTTTGCCAGTGTACACTTTTTGGGTCGCCAAATATAGGGAGAGCCACCAAGAAACAAACGTTGCGAAGCGTATCCACTGGCTGGGTGAGTTATGGTGGGCTCAAGTCTTTATGTGCTTTGGAGA